TTAAGGAAATCAACCCTGAGTGCTCACTGGAAGGACAGATCCTGAAGCTGAGGCTCCAATACTTTGGCTGCCTCAGAAGAGAAGACTCCCTGGAAAAGACCCTGATGTTGGGAAAGATGGAGGGCACAAGGAGAAGGGGACGACAGAGGACGAGATGGTTGGACAGTGTTCTCGAAGCTACCAGCATGAGCTTGACCAAACTGCGGGAGGCAGTGGAAGACAGGAGTGCCTGGCGTGTTCTGGTCCAAGGGGTCGCAAAGAGTCGGACACGACTAAACGACTAAACAACAACAAACAGCCCAAACCGTCGACCAGCAGAGGGCAGCTGTGTCATACACAGATCAGTTCAGGTTCCAAATCAATTCCAGGCAGCATCAAGGCTATGTAACACATTTGCAGCTTGAGATGCTTATTTCCCCTGCTGTGTTTCAAGTTGCATATTTATGGTGCTGCTTCTTGCACCAGAGATGGGATGGGCAAAGATATATTTCACCCAACCTGTGTTACCTGTTTGGTTTCCCCACCCCTGAAACCCACCCTTCCCAAACCAATTCAATGAAGCTGTAATCTGTATGGAAAACAGATGAAATGCGCACACCTCAAGCCTCTAAAGTAGCCATGATTTGGGGAAGAGCCACACCATATGTTTAAAGCACATTGCTTAATACACACCCCACCCGAATCCTGGCTGCTGTAATTTCATATAGGTGCTGGGAATTGTAGTTCTGTGAGGGGGGAACTACAGTTCCCAGGATTCTTTGGGGGAGTCGTGTGATTTGAATGCATGGTGTGGATCTGCCTAACTTTTTTCAAAGAGGGCCAGATTTGATGAAGTGAAGGGCCGTGGGGGCCGGCCAGAGGGCTGGCCAAAGTTGTTGAGCTTGTTTTTAGGATTGAAGTTGTTGAGGTTTTTTTAGGATTTTACCCCAGGAAGTAAACTGCCACAGGGGCTGGACTGAACTGACCGGCGGGCCGGATTAGGCCCCAGAAATGGACTTTGGACATGCCTGGCCTAAGGCTTTGAACCAAATCAAGCCATCGAGTCTCCTGATCCTGATCCCTTGGCACTGTAGAATATGAAAGGTTGTGGGTTCGAATCCCGTGATGGAGCGGGTTGAACTAGACGACCTCGTGGTCCCTTCCAACTCTACAATTATATGATGTGATAGGAATTTTATGGTCTTAGATACTGCCATATAACTGCACGTACATAGATCAGCACAGGAAGGCCAACCTGGAACCATTTTGATTCCTAAACTGACCAAATGTTTTCTCTGCAAGGTCCAAGTGGGAAACCTCCCCACTGTCACTTTCCTCACAAATCCTGTCTTAAGGACACATTTAAGATATGAATAGGGTGTGAGCCTGTGACCTGGCCCAGGAACTAAGTATTTATCACTACAAAAGAATGGCCAGGCTCCCTAGGCAATCCAATCAAGTAACCTGCCAGACAGGAGATGACAGGAGAAAAACAACATTCAAATTTCTGTTTTAAGACCGCCTTTTCTGTGATGTAGGTATGATGTATCTGAGGGGTGGTCTTAGGTACACCCCTTCTGTGATGTATGTATGATGTTTCTGGGGGTGGTCTTGATCTACAGGGTGGCAATTTCAAAAGTCTTTATAAGGCCTTGCGCGCCATTTTTCTGGGTTCCTCCTCCTCTCCTGCGGATGAGGGGAGCACCCTGTTGCAACAGATCAATAAAGATCAAGCTTACGAGCTGCTTTGCTTCTCTGGTTGGCCTCTGTTATTCTCTCCTACCAATAGGGAACCTATGTAAGGACTCTATATGGGCTCTACCCCATAAGGGAAAAGGGCAACTTTTGTTTACAACAATGATAATCCTAAGACCCAGGCTCACACATTTCATAGGAATGTCTGCATTTTCACACAACCTTTCTCACTCGCTGCCATCCCCCCCTTTCCTTTAATTTTGGATGCCCTCTTTCCCAGCCCATCTCCCGCTCTCCTTTTCAAGACTTCTGGGAGACAGAGAGGCATTTGTCTGCTATTGGGGAGGGGGTTTAGACGCTGTCCAACAAGCTGTGGGGACAATTGCAGAACAGCTTAATCTTTTTACCCCAGATGGGAGCAGATGCTTGTGGTGAGGCTTCCCCTCTCAATGGCCTGCCTTGTTCTCCACTCGAGTCGAAACGGTTACAACAGGCAAACCCTGAATGTGCCCATTGATGGGGTCCATTCCCCCTCTGCCTAATGAGGTAGGGGCAAAGCAAGAAGCTTGTACACCCCGCCGGCGCCACTCCAGCATCGGCGTTCGGGAGGACTTTCTGAGTGCCACAATGCTGAACAGTTTACATGGCAACCTGTTCAGACCCAAAATGGGGCCACATCTGCACCATGCATTTAAAGAAGCATTAATGGGCCACTTTGACAGCCATGCATTCTCTCAGAGGCTCCTGAGAACTGTAGTTTGTTAAGGGTGCTGAGAGTTATTGTTGTTTAGTCGTTTAGTCGTGTCTGACTCTTCGTGAACCCCTGGACCAGAGCACGCCAGGCACTCCTGTCTTCCACTGCCTCCCGCAGTTTGGTCAAACTCATGCTGGTAGCTTCGAGAACACTGTCCAAACATCTCGTCCTCCGTCGTCCCCTTCTCCTTGTGCCCTCCATCTTTCCCAGCATCAGGGTCTTTTCCAGGGAGTCTTCTCTTCTCATGATGTGGCCAAATTATTGGAGTCTCAGTTTCAGGATCTGTCCTTCCAGTGAGCACTCAGGGCTGATTTCCTTAAGAATAGATAGGTTTGATCTTCCTGCAGTCCATGGGACTCTCAAGAGTCTCCTCCAGCACCATAATTCAAAAGCATCCATTCTTCGGCGATCAGCCTTCTTTATGGTCTAGCTCTCACTTCCATACATCACTAGTGGGAAAACCATAGCGTTAACTATACGGACCTTTGTTGGCAAGGTGATGTCTCTGCTTTTTATGATGCTGTCTAGGTTTGTCATTGCTTTTCTCCCAAGAAGCAGGCGTCTTTTAATTTCGTGACTGCTGCCACCATCTGCAGTGATCATGGAGCCCAAGAAAGTAAAATCTCTCACTGCCTCCGTTTCTTCCCCTTCTATTTGCCAGGAGGTGATGGGACCAGTGGCCATGATCTTAGTTTTTTTTTATGTTGCGCTTCAGACCCTATTTTGCGCTCTCCTCTTTCACCCTCATTAAAAGGTTCTTTAATGAGAGTTGTTAGGAGACTCCTATTCCCCTCACAGTTCTCAGAGCGGTTTAAGAATCAACCTCTCTTCACAGGGAACTCTGGGAATTGTAACTCTGTCAGGGGAATAGCAGTAGGGGGCCTCCTAGCAACTCTCAGCCGGGAGTTCGAAATTCACCAGGCGCTAGGCGCATTTTGCACCTGGCTATCAGCCACTTGCAACCAAGTGTAGATGCCCGGGCGCCAGGATGGTGCCTGACATCTCCACCATCTGGAGGTACGTGCTTGGGGATCCTTGGATCTTGACTGTTTTCAGCAACACATCCTGTAGAATTCTGTCTGCACAATCAGAATGAATTTCAGGAACCAAAAAGTCATATTGAAAAATACAACTTTTGAACCGCCTGGCCCCCAAATGGCAACTAGGCATTCTGTTTTGGTGACTGCAACCCTGATTTAAGGAGCCATTTGGCACCTAATTAAACCACAGAGCCTAGGACTTGCCGATCAGAAGGTTGGCGATTCGAATCCCCGCGACGGGGTGAGCTCCCGTTGCTCAGTCCCTGCTCCTGCCAAGCTAGCAGTTCGAAAGCACATCAAAGTGCAAGTAGATAAATAGGTACCGCTCCGGCGGGAAGGTAAATGGCGTTTCCGTGCGCTGCTCTGGTTCACCAGAAGCGGCTTAGTCATGCTGGCTACATGACCCGGAAGCTGTACGCCAGCTCCCTTGGCCAGTAAAGCGAGATGAGTGCTGCAACCCCAGAGTCGGCCACGACTGGACCTAACGGTCAGGGGTCCCTTTACCTTTAACACTGCTCTCAACACCCTTAAAAAATCTACACTTCCTAGGTTTCTCTGGGGAAAATCATGAGTATTTAAAACAGTATCCTAGTGCTTTAAATGTACTTGGCTCTAAAAGGTTTTGACCAGGCCCAAGCAGAGAAATTTCTGCTGCCTTGAGCAAAGGACATGATCCAGAACGCCTTCATTCCAGGTACAGAAGCTGACCTGACTGGGTTGGCAGCTGAGTCTTACTTCAGTATCTCCACATCTGGCGGGCAAGCACATCTGGAGGTCATTGAATTGAAAGTACCTGGGCAGTACATCCACTCCTTACAGCGTCTTAGCTGGAACCCAGGAAAGGAAGGTTGCATCTGCCCGAAAGATAAACTTTGCTATGTTTCCTGAGAAAATAAGCATTGCTTAGTTTCTTCTAGGATGAAAAAGAGCTGTACTGATCCCATGCAACATCTGCATAACAGCTGCAAAAAATTATTGCAGCTACTAATTCTTTTAACTGGAGATTGCAGGCATTGAACTGGGCACCAAATCTACGGCACCATTTTGCGTTTTGACCCCCTCCTTCCCTGTATCTCCCCCAACCCACTCCTTGGAAACAAAATCTACTTCCAAATTTATCCTTTTTTTTTACAGGAATGTTTTATTCATAAGCAAAATATATCACAGAGCATTCTCTCAATCTCTCTCTTTCGCTCTCTCTTTTACTAAAACAGACCTTGCCCTGAGAGGAAATGTGTTTGTAGAAAAGACAGGGCGTGGGAAAAAATAACATTTCATATATAGCATTTTCTTTTTTTAAAAAAATTATATACATTAATATATATATATAAACATTTCATTAATAAGAATCTCTAGGGCAGGGGGAATAGCTGACTGTTCTGCATACACTTCAGTGCAGGAGGCGGGGAGTGAGAGAAGCCTTTGATCTGAACATAAGCCACACTTGGTGGCCAAGAAAAATTGTGGGGGTTGAGGGAACCAAAACCCTACAGAGCCTTTTGCAGAAAAGCCTTTTTTTTTTTTTTTTTTTTGCAGAAAGCCCAGCCTTTTCTGTCCCAGTCCAAAGAGGAGACAGATGGCTATCAATGTGTTTCAGCAAGCAGAACGGAAAACATGGTTTCACCACGCCTGAAAGGTGCCACCGAATTGAGTCAGAAGGTGATGAGCGGTTTCTTCAAAAAGAGGAGAAATGTTTCTATAGGGTGGCTGTGTGTCCGCCAGATGGAAAGGCAGGGGACCCCGTTAGAACGGGAGTCTGCCATGCAGCTTTAAAAGAGCAGGAGACAGGAGAGGGCAAAGCCTCCAACATTTGTCCTATGAAAATAGGGACGTCCTAAGGAAAAGCGAGATGAGCACCGCAACCCCAGAGTCGGTCACGACTCGACCTAATGGTCAGGGGTCCCTTTACCTTTACTTTAAGGAAAAGCAGGACATTCCGGGATCAGATCAGAAACCGGGACGGCTTCTGTACATCTGGGATGTCCCTGGAAAACAGGGACACTTGGAGGGTCTGAGAGGAGTGTGGGACCCTTCCTCTGCCAGTTGTTCCTCCCTACCCCACCCCAAACCTCCCCCCCCCCCCCCGGATCGAAGGCCGGAAGTGAAATCAGCCACCCTGGACGACATGGCTGGGTGAGGGTGGTCCGTCTCAAGGGCAGTGGCAGGAGAGGGAAAGGCTCAGCTCCCCTCTCCCACCCGCTTTACCCTGACGTAACCCCAGGGGCAGCCAAAATGGCGGCCTCCAGAACTTGCTGGACTCCAACTCCCATCAGTCGCAGACTACATGGCCAGTGGTGAGGGGTGATGGGAGTTGCAGTCCACAACATCTGGAGGGCTGTTTGTGCCCTAAGCTAGCCCCCTTCATGGAAGGCTGGTGTAAGATACAGGCCCCACCGCTATGAGGCCTACGGACAAGATGGCGCAATTCCAGTATAGACTCCACTTCCTGGTTAGTCCTCCTTATGCATTGAGGCCACAGATAGAGGCAGGGATTAAGAGCTGCTTGCAAGCTTATTCAGTTTAGCATAGGTTTGGTAGCTTCAAAAAAAAAAAAGAGAGAACAAGAAATCGCAAGAATTGAAGACTAAAAAACTGCTCCCCCAAGGAGATGTTTTTGTGATAACACAAGCCTATCAAATCAGTGCATTTTACACAAAATTGCACCTAAATCCTGGGGAGAATATTGTTAAGTGTGAATACATGGTGAACATGCGAACTAGGGCAGCTTCACTGTTTGGCGTCTGCATGTTTTGATTTGCTCCAAGCACGAAGGGGCTTGTGGGGTAAAAGCTGGCCTTTCTGCAAAGCGCTGCTGCTGTTGCAAACTGCAGGGAACGACGCATGGACTGTGCAGAACAAAATCAGTAACGAAATGTGCATTTATTGTGCAAATAAAATAAAATAAAAATCACTGTGCGGAAAGGCCTTCAGTTTAAGGCTGGAGCCAGACAACAGGTTTCAAGAGAGCTGAAAGTGGTTCAAAGTACAGTTCTTTTGTGGCACTGGTTCTTCTGACCGAACAGGTACGGCAGGTTTTGAAACACGAAAGCCTGCAAAACCTGTTTAAGCAAAAGTGCAAGTCGGATGAGCGTGTATAGCATGAACATTTGTCTTCTTCTTTTTGTCACCCATCTTCAGCTCTCAGGAAAAGCTGGAAAATGTTCCCAGCCCAAGTGACCGTGAACATGCAATAAGAAATTGCCAAAACATGCATTCAGCTTACCACCTCCCTAGTCTGGCTTTCATTGCTGGGAGGTAGCCAGAAAAAAATGAACCATTATGGTGTGATTACCGTTGTGAGCAGTTGCACCCCATCCATGTTAGATGGAGAAAGCTACCATTATGTCCAAAACAGAATTCGTGAATCCCCTCTAAATTGCATGTGACTGGTGGGAGCTTCAGAGACTGTGTTCCCAGATGAAAATATCATTAATCAAGGCACTATGCAGCTGGCAGGTCTGATTTATGGAGTGTCATGGAACTGATGGAGAGCTGGGACTTGCCCTCTGAAATATGGAGTTGTCTTCTACTTCAGTGGAGCTGTGATGTTTCAGGGGGAAAGCGATTACTGGCAATTGTGGGCATGTGAACTGGCGCAAAGAGAGGGTTTGTCACTAGCAAAAAGGAGCATATGAGTAGCTAATTCGGTTTGGACAACCTCCACTTATTTCCCTGGGTATTTTCCCACAGGATTCTCATACAAGCCCCAGTGAAATGAAAGAAGGTTGGAGACAAGGAATCCTACTCTGATTGCACCCACTAATATTGTCTATTTCATATCCAGACGCCATTGGTGATCATAGCCTGCTGCTGCTGCTGCTTTAGACGTCTGAATAACTCGGGAAATTCTTGTCCAGATGTTTGCTCCAAGTGGCAGATGGGTTGTTTGTGATCAGATAGGGTTTGTAACATCTGCACGATGGGCAGGCACCCAGCAGGTAGGGCTTTCCCCAGCAGAGAGATGTGGGAATGGGGGGAAAGTATACTTGTTGAGTTTCTGCCTGCATTGGTGAAATGCAAAGAGTCATTGAGGGATGGGGAGAAGATGGCAACCTTCACATTTCCAGCAAAGTTAGATAAAGAAGAGTTTGGATTTGATATCCCGCTTTATCACTACCCGAAGGAGTCTCAAAGCGGCTAATATTCTCCTTTCCCTTCCTCCCCCACAACAAACACTCTGTGAGGTGAGTGAGGCTGAGAGACTTCAGAGAAGTGTGACTAGCCCAAGGTCACCCAGCAGCTGCATGTGGAGGAGCGGGGACACGGACCCGGTTCCCCAGATTACGCGTCTACCGCTCTTAACCACTACACCACACTGGCTCCAACTCACTACTGTCAGGGAAGCTCTGGCCTAGCTGGGTGTGAAGACTTGAAGGCCAATTTGTTCCCTTCTCCCATCTCAAATGTGCTATAAAAATATACCTTCAGACCCCGCCCCCTCTGAGATGCCCACCTGGGTATGGCTTCAGTGCCCTGTGGCATCTTTACCTCCAGGGCAACTCAGCTATGGCTGATCAGATGTCCCCCGATAACCTGTTGAGGAGAATTTGGTGCTGTGTGGACAGGGTGGGTTGGTCTGTCGGGCTGAAACCTGCACCAAAATTAACCTCCAGGGTCAGATTTAAAAACTAGGGCTGGCTCCCGAGAAGCAATAGCGACTTTTTTTTAAAAAAGTGTGCATCTGTGCACAAACTGAGTACATTTCCCTTGTTGCAGCTCCTTCAGAAGGGAGCCCTCCAGAACCTCTGTTTAATTCATCTCCACCGGCCTAAATGCAACCTGGGAGACATGGCAGTGAAACAGCTGGTAGTAAAATAAGGAGGGGGGGAGGACTAAGTACGTACCGCTTTCAGATGGCTGCAATTAGGACTAGTACTTCCCACCCCCCGTTTTGGTTAATGTGCCCTGCTCCCCTTTAACAGCACACAAACTGAGCAGCCGGACTTTACCCTCCTTCATAGCAAATCTATGCTCTGCCGGCTCAGCAGCTGTGCGCCAGGCCCAACACGAAAAAGGCAGGAGCTGGGCCACACAAACACAGAATAACCTTAGTACCATTGGCGAGGGCTCATCCCCACTTGCCCCGCCGAATCGGAGCGAATGTCGACCAGGTTTCCTCCGGACTGACATTCACTCCGATTTGGCACCGAAGAGCAGGTTTTCCGGGGGAAAGCAAGTTAAAACCGCTCCGATTCATGCCTTCTAGGCCTGGGGCAAGCAGGAGCGTGGACGAGACCTCAGTGTTAGCGAGCTAAATTTGGACCACGGAGTTGCGGACGGGGGACGGGAGGTCAAATTGCTATGGTACCTTCAACGTGAGGAGCAGGAAAGGGCGCAGCTGTCGGGTTCCCCACAGTGTCCCCCTCCACCCACCTCCCCTGGCCCCTGTAACCTGAGATGGACTCCCCCCTTCTGCCAACATCATAGTCTAGAGTACATATCTGGCCTCAGGCTGGTGGTGTGGAGCATGACTGTCAATGCATGTACAGCCGTGAGACATACTCAGAGATGGGTCAGTCCAAACTCCCCCTGAAGGGGGTTGATGGGGAAGGAAGACCCTTGTGGCAAAAGCAAGGCAGTGGCTCATTTTGGGAGAGGAGGCGGGTGCGCCTCAGCTAGTGGAGTCCTCCATGAATCCCCTCTCCTCAGAGATGGGGGGGTCGTCGTCTTCCAAAGCTTGCAGGGACTGCACCAGTTGGGCCGCTTGCAACCTCCCCCCTCCCCCCCGGCCACAACGAATAAGTCGCCTCGTCCCGTTCAGGCCCCTTCCTCGGTGGCGGCGCAGCTGGGGGCGTCCGTCAGTAGCCGGCTGCTCTCGTGAGGGGTGGGGCACATGACGTAGCGGCCCATGCCCTGGGGCTGGTGGACTTCAGCCGCCGTCACCGTGGGCTTGAGCGACTGGTTCTCCTTGGCTGGTGCTTCCTCAGGGCCCAGACCCCCGACGGCACCCAGCTCCGCCTCTCCGGGGGCCACGCCGTCGTCCATGTTGACGTAGAGGATCTCTTCCGGGTCCTTAGCCGGAGGGAGGGACTTGAGGATCTTCTCCAGCTCTTGGTGCAGGATCTCAAAGCTGGGGCGGTCACGAGGGTTGATGGCCCAGCAGCTCATCATCAGCTCGTACCTGCGCGGGTCCAAAAGAGATGTTATTTCAAGGGAACTTGGGACGCAGCATCCTTGGAAGTTACTTATAAGTGGTTACTTAATCTGCTGGGGATTTTACCATGCTTCAGAAGGGGAAGGAGGACTCGTTCTCTCTCTTGTTTATATCCCACCTTTTTTACTTCCCCTCCTTAATTTATCCTTGTGAGGTAAAGGTAAAGGTAAAGGTAAATGTAAATGGACCCCTGACCATTAGGTCCAGTTGTGGCCGACTCTGGGGTTGAGGCGCTCATCTTGCTTTATTGGCCGAGGGAGCTGGCGTACAGCTTCCGGGTCATGTGGCCAGCATGACCAAGCCGCTTCTGGCGAAACCAGAGCAGCACACGGAAATGCCGTTTACCTTCCCGCCGGAGCGGTACCTATTTATCTACTTGCACTTTGAGGTGCTTTCGAACTGCTAGGTTGGCAGGAGCAGGGACCGAGCAACGGGAGCTCACCCCGTCGCGGGGATTCGAACCGCCGACCTTCTGATCGGCAAGTCCTAGGCTCTGTGGTTTAACCCACAGCACCACCCGCATCCCTGTGAGCTACGTGAGGTTGAAACACAGTGACTGAAGCAAGATCACCCATTCTGAACCATGACATGGGAAGGAGGATTACTGGTTTGTTTTTGTTTTTATTATGCATTTGGTGGTTTTTTATATTGTATTTTCCTGTTGTGAACCATCCTGAGATCTATGGGTGAATGGCAGTATACAAATTTAATGATGATGATGATGATGATGATAATGATAAATGACTCAGCAGGGATTCAAACCCTGGTCTCTGAAATCCTAGACCAACACTGCAGCCCAAACTTAGGTTTCTCCAGCTGTTTCTAACTCACTGTGAGAAGCGAAGTTACAGGGAACCAGGCAGAAGGCCTTCTTGGTGATGGCATCGTGGAACGCCCTGCCATCAGATGTCAAGGAAATAAACAACTATCTGACTTTTAAAAGACGTCTGAAGGCAGCCCTGTTTAGGGACGTTTTTAATGTCTGATGTTTAATTGTATTTTTAGTATTTTGTTGGAAGCCGCCCAGAGTGGCTGGGGAAACCCAGCCAGATGGGCAGGGTACAAATAATAATATATTATTATTATTATTATTATTATTATTATTATTACTACTACTACTTACTACTACTACAACAACTCCCATCATCCCTGACCACTGGTCCTGCTACCTAGGAATGATGGGGGTTGTAGTCCAAAAACAGCTGGAGACCCAAGTTTGGTAAAACTCTTCTCTAACCGCTATGTCATAGCGGCTCAGGATTTTGGATGAGTTCAAGTTTAATATCAGAGGTGCTCAGGGACCTTGAAGTTTTGTAACGGAGGCCTTAATTTGAGCCGGGGGCAGCGGGTCAACCCTGGAACCCGTTTTCAGTTGCTAGGGTTGTAGGGTGAAAAAACTGAATTTGCTTGCCCGCTGAGTGAGCATAGTCACATTCCTAAGGCAGAGAGAGTCAGTGGTGGGATGTCATGAAATTATTTTTTGCAACGATACAGCCCCCTCTACAGTCCAGGCTTACTGATCATAAGGCAGAAAACCTAATTGGCCATGCTGCACAGCATCATGGGAAGACAAAGGAAGGAGATGCCAATTTGAAGAAGCAGTGGTGATGCTTACAGGCCATCCAGGCAGTCGATTGGCTGCTTGAGTCGATTGCCCTGACGCAGGTAGTCGTAGATCTCACTGTTTTCCACACCTGGGTACGGCGTCTGGCCTCGCGTCGCGATTTCCCACATAGTAACGCCGAACGACCACTGCAGGAAAGGAGTCAGAAAGAGGGAATTAGATGCTGCTGGCCAAGCAAAGAATTCAACTTCTCCCATTGGCTGGGGCAGCCTGTCCTGTTTCACCGCCTGAGGCAAAATGGCCGCCCTCCCGCCTCGCTAGCTAGGGTCGTGCAGCGGTGGCAGCTGGCGAGATTTTGTGAGATCTCACCAGAGACCGCTGCTGCTGCTTCACCTCACTTCTCTGGCAGTAGGGGTGAGCATGAGGGGGACTCAGTCTGCTTCACGGGCAGGCCAGCTCTGTCCATTGGTAGACAGGAACAGAAGCCAATTTAGGAGGACACAGAAGCTGGTCTTCTCATTGGCCTGTTCAGGAGGAGGGTGGGATCAAAGGCTTCCCCAATTGGCTGCTCACCACGTCGCTCTTGATGGTGTAAACGCGGTCGGCCAGACTCTCAATGGCAATCCACTTGACAGGCATTTTGGAGATACGGCCTTGCCGGTAATAATCGCCGTTGTAGATTTTCTTAGAGAGGCCAAAGTCGGCGACACAAGCCGTCATGCTCTCGTTCAGCCTGTTGGGTACAGAAGCCACGTGTGAATGTGTGGGTTGCTCATGGGAGAGACGGATGTGAGATTGTCAAAAGCCGTGGATCAAAGTTTGAATTAGAGATATTAAGTAATGATTCTAAAATTTTGGATATAATATACAGCTGAGTGATTGGGTAAAATTATGGAAAGAAGGTTTAAAATTTACTGCATGCAATGCCCTAAAAGAAGATGTGATGAAAATGATGTATAGATGGTATATAACACCTGTCAAGTTAGCGAAAATGTATAACGTCAGTAATAAATGTTGGAAATGTAAAGAAAAAGAGGGAACATTTTATCACATGTGGTGGGAATGTAAAAAGGTGAAATGCTTCTGGGAGATGATATATAATGCGATGAAAAAAATGTTGAAATATACACTCATAAAGAAACCAGAAGCATTTTTACTGGGGATTGTGGGGAGTGATATAAATAGAAAGGAATGCAAGCTCTTCTTATATGCAATAACAGCAGCAAGAATATTACTGGCCCAAAAATGGAAGCAAGAAGAATTACTGATTGAAGAATGGAGAATGAAGTTAATGGACTATGCAGAACTAGATAAACTAACAGGAAGGATTCAAAACCGGCGGGACCAGAAATTCACGGAAGACTGGAGTAAATTTACGGACTATTTGAAAGGTATTTGTGAAGATCAGACAATGTTTGTAGGTTTGCAAGAAGTTTTGTAGGGAGTATTATTGGAAGTATTGCAAAAATGGAGAAGGGGAAGGATGATTTGTTAAGAGATGTAAAGGCAATATAAAGTTAAGAAATGCATAAGAAGTGGTTAAAACGGTGGATCATCAGAGGTGCTGATGGAAGTCTAAAAAGATTGTATAAGTGATAAGTTTTGTGGTACATTTTATAATTTATATGTTAAAAATCAATAAAAATATATATTATAAAAAAAAGAGATTGTCAAAAGCCACTAATCTGTGCATCCTTGAAATCCCCTCTTCCATCATCTCTCGCGTCACACAAACTCACATGCAATTGCGGGCGGCGAGATCACGGTGTATGAAGTTCTTGCTACTGAGATACTCCATCCCGCTAGCAATGTCCGTCATGAATTTGACCAGCGTCTGTGTGGGCAGGTACTGGAAGATGAGGAAAGCACAACGATCAGACACAAGCAGTGGGTGGGCTGCAGGCACCTCAATGTTTAACTCTCTTTCCCCTGTAAGAGGAGAGGCCCACTGGACTCCTGTGTGGAGGACCCAGGATCCAGCGGGCTCCCTTCACCTTCCCTTTGTCCCCCTCTAGTGGTCATTCTCTGTGTTACAGTTCGTTTGTTCGTTCATTAAACCGCCATATTGCTCCATAGCAAAGCTCTTGGAGAGGCTCGTATTGAAACAGAAAACCAAAACAAGCCTAGCAATAAAATGTATAAAAAGCACTTCATATGCATACTGAAAAATAAAACACAGGCAAGGATTAAAATTCCCCAGTTAAAAACCCTAGTTCAAATAAAAGGAAACCAGCCCTCCCGATTTCAGGCCAAGAGGCCTGACATTTGATTCCCATACTCTCCAACAACTCAATGGCAAAATCTGGGACACAATCTTCCAGGATGCTATCTTCCCTTTTTTTCTTGCGAGAGAACGGCAGACATCTAGGATGCCATGATCTTGTGCGATTTTGCACCGCAATCCAGAGAGCCCGTGTGGTGTAGTGGTTAAGAGTGGTAGTCTCGTAATCTGGTGAACCGGGTTCACGTCTCCGCTCCTCCACATGCAGCTGCTGGGTGACTTTGGGCCAGTCACACTTCTCTGAAGTCTCTCAGCCCCACTCACCTCACAGAGTGTTTGTTGTGGGGGAGGAAGGGAAAGGAGAATGTTAGCCGCTTTGAGACTCCTTAAAGGGAGTGAAAGGCGGGATATCAAATCCAAACTCTTCTTCTTCTTCCCCTCCAGTGCTTTTTTCGGGAACGGCACGCAATAACTCATGTTTTGGGGTGCCACGTGACACTGTGGCCCTGAAAAAGCATTTTTCTGAGGGGGGGGGGAATTGAGGTCCAAAATCGTACAAGATCATCACGGCGTCCAAAGTGGCCGCCGTTCTCTCATGAGAAAAAAACCAGGATGTCTCAATTTTTCCGGGACACCTGTGCGGTATGGATTCCCCGCAACGGATTTCTCATGGGGCAGCACTACGTACCACTGGGCTCTCGCCAAGCCGGGAGTACAACAGGAAGCTGTGCAGGTCTCCGTGTTTCATAAAGGGCAGGATGACAACCGGGGAGGGGTATCCTTCGCTCTCTGTGTTCTGCAGGCAAACTCCTGAGGGAAGAGAAAGAGTGTGAGTTTCTCAGTGGGCAACAGAGAAGACACGAGGATCAATGGCCAACAAGGACCACAGGAGGAGAGGGTGCTCATGCGCCCGTGTCTTGCTTGTGGGTTTCTCACGGTTGGCCGTTGTGAGGAGTGGATGCTGGACCAGGTGGGCTGTTGGCCCACATCTCCTGATGTTCTTACATTCTTCACTCTTTCTCTCTCAGCTTGTGGCAAGTTGTGCAGGCCAGGCCGTGCCACATGTGTACAACTTGAGAGAACTACAGAACCTGTGATTCTCACGGTCCTGTATACCTGAAGGAGCGTCTCCACCCTCATTGTTCAGCCCGGACACTGAGATCCAGCGCCGAGGGCCTTCTGGCGGTTCCCTCATTGCGAGAAGTGAGGTTACAGGGAACCAGGCAGAGGGCCTTCTCGGTAGTGGCTCCTGCCCTGTGGAACGCCCTCCCTTCAGATGTGAAGGAAATAAGCAGCTATCCTATCTTTAAAAGACATCTGAAGGCATCCCTGTTTAGGGAAATTTTTGATATTTAATGCTGCATTGTTTTTAACACTCGATTGGAAGCCACCCAGAGTGGCTGGGGAAACTCAGCCAGCTGGGCGGGGTATAAATAATAAATTATTATTATTAACCATAGACTTGGAAGGGACACCAAAGGTCTTCGAAGTCCAAGCCCCTGCAATGCAGGAATCTCAGCTAAAGCATCCGTGACAGATAGCCATCCAACCTCTGCTTAAAGACCTCCAAGGAAGGACAGTCCACCACCTCCCGAGGGAGACCATTCCACTGCTGAACGGCTCTTACTCTTCCTGAATTCTTACTGTTTCCTGCATTTCAGGGGCTTGGACCAGATGGACCTTCCAACTCTACGATTTTATAATTCCAAAGAGTGAGAGAGGTGAAAAAAGGAAGACACGGAGGGGGAGGGAGCCTCCCCTCTCAAACTTGCACACCATCTGGAAGCCCCCTCCCCATGTCCCACACCTGCCCCCAACCCCCAAAAGTCTTTGCCCGTGAGAACATCCTCTTTGGGGGTCCTCTTACCCGACAGGACGCTCTCTTGGTGCGCCTTGTGCCTGAGAGTTATTTTTACTGTGCTCCTCTTTAATGTGAACCAGAGAGGGAGAAGGGGCTGTTGGGCGAGTCGCAAACTAGCATCAGCTGAGCTTCCACCCACCCCTTCTGTGGACTGTCAGAGCTCCCAGCATCCTTGCCAACATCTGTTTTCCCAAGAAGTCTTTTTTTCCCTTCGCCCCCTCACTTGGAGTCCTGTTCCCTGGGGATGTTGCGTCCATTCTGCCTGCCTCCCTCCCTCTGCAACCACCATCCAAAGGCCGTTTCCTCTCTTCTGGTTTTTCCCAGGCTGCAGCCTGCGGAATCTGCCCTAAATGGAATGGCCGAGTGTGCTACTTCTCGGGACGACAATAATAATAATAATAATAATAATAATAATAATAATAATATATCCTGCCCATCTGACTGGTTTGCCCCAGCCACTCTGGGCAGCGTCCAACAAAGTACAGTGGTACCTCGGGTTACAGACGCTTCAGGTTACAGACTCCGCTAACCCAGAAATAGTACCTCAGGTTAAGAACTTTGCTTCAGGATGAGAACAGAAATTGTGAGGCCCCATTAGCTAAAGTGGTGCTTCAGGTTAAGAACAGTTTCAGGTTAAGAATGGACCTCCAGAACGAATTAAGTTCTTAACCCAAGGTACCACTGTATTAAAGAAAAACATAGCGAAACACCAGACATTAAAAACTTCCCAACCCAGGGCTGTCTTCAGATATCTACGGAAAGTCATATAATTGTTTATCTCCTTGACATCTGACGGGAGGGCGTTACACAGGGAGGGCGCCACTACCAAGAAGGCCCTCTGCCTGGTTCCCTGTAACCTCACTTCTTGCAGGGAGGGAACCGGCATATAATTGTTTATCTCCTTGACATCTGACGGGAGGGCGTTACACAGGGAGGGCGCCACTACCAAGAAGGCCCTCTGCCTGGTTCCCTGTAACCTCACTTCTTGCAGGGAGGGAACCGGCATATAATTGTTTATCTCCTTGACATCTGACGGGAGGGCGTTTCACAGGGAGGGCGCCCACTACCAAGAAGGCCCTCTGCCTGGTTCCCTGTAACCTCACTTCTTGCAGGGAGGGAACTGGCAGAAGACCCTCAGAGCTGGGCCTCAGCGTATAAGCCCTGGCTAGCAATGGCTACCAGCTGCGACAGCTATGCTTTGCCTTCACAGTCAGAGGCCACAATGATTCCAAATATATGCTGCTGGAAGTCACAGGAAGGGGGAAAGAGCTCTTGCGTTTGAGTCCCACTTGTGGGTTTCCCAGCGGCATCTGGGTGGCTGCTGTGAGTGCAGGATGCTGGATCAGACGGGTCACTGGCCTGCTCCAGAAGGACAATTCTCATGTTCTTACGCGGATGTGGTTCTTCAGGCTGCACACCAAAAAACCTAGCCCAGGCATCATATGTCGGGCAGAAGAATCAATGGCTTAATGTCCCAGAATGCTCTGGGGCAGTACCACACACAACCTGGAGGAATTTCGGGGTAATGATAGCGGAGAGGGTGAGTGGGGGTAACTCATAAGCTCCCCCCCCCCCGCCGCTGAAAGCATTAACTCTTCATGTGCCGTGGCTAAGATAGCTCACCAATCAGTTTCATGACGTTAGGGTGGTCAAAGTCCTTCATGCAAACGGCTTCGCTGAGGAAATCCTCCATCTCGCTGCGGGTGCAGATGGCAACTGTGAGGAGGAAAAGTAAGGTCGGTGGCATGAGATGGGCTTTGGGAACATGCCAGGGGGTCAGGCAGTGAAAACTGTTTTCAACGCCCGGGTGTCGATGCAGAACGTTGGAAGCAGTGACGAAGAATGAGAGCACCTCTGAGCGTATGAAGGGTGCTCAGCCATGTCTGGCGGTGGTATTCAGGTCAAGGGGACGTAGGAAATTGCATTTCTAAAGGCAAAAGGCAGAGAGTATGGAGAGGTTTCTAGCATGGGCGAGCAAGCCCAATTTATGTTGTTGTTTTTTCAATGCAGAAGAAAAGGAGAGAAGGCCTCTGGGCACGTGCAGAGTGATGTTTCTTCATTGCTGGTATAATCCCAACCTGCCCCAGCGTGACCAGGATGAAACCACCCCCTCCACCTCCACTGCTACTCACTTTTCATGGTCTTAACGGCAACCTTAAGGACCGCTCCGTCTTGGCTGAGTTGCCCCTCCATTACGGAGCCAAATTCCCCTGCAGAGACAAAGAAGAAGAAGAGGAAAAGGCCTATGAGCAAGAGAGAGCAAATGCCAAATCATGCCAGGTAGAAATTGGGAGTAGATCAGGCCAAATGGCGTTCATGTGAGAAAATGCCCGTGATTTTAACCCAGGCTTGAAACAACCTGGTCACCTGCAGCGAACAGAAAACTCCTCCTAGGTAACCAGGCAGAGAAGGGGGAGGGTATGCCATTAAATTTTACTCAGAGTAGACCTATTGAAATGAATGGACCTGGGTCATGTTGTTTCATTTCAGCATAATTTCGAGCAAAACTTAGTTAAATACCATATATATATATATATATATATATATATATATATATATATATTCATATATTCTCCCCAGTGATTCTTCTTTTCTTTTTAGGCTGCCTGTGATTAATCTAGTCATGCCACCATTTTTGTTGGCCTGGATTTTTTTTTCCTGGAGGCTCCATTTTAACCGCCGTACAACTTTGCACTGTCCTGATTTCATGTAGGAAATATAAACACAGACGATGCGAAGCAAGCGTTAGGTACTGAGTAGCTCTCGTGTCCAAGAACAAGGAAATCCAGGGGTGGGTGGGAACATTCCGATAACGCCAAAACCATTTGTGTGCCGTTGGGAAGTCGGCAGCCAATACCCATAAGAGCAAAACCGCAAATATTTATAGATAAGTGAAAACACAGCGTTGGTAACCATGCCTCCCCTTTCAAACCGGGCAGCGTTTACACGGTTCGGGTTATAATTAGCGCAGCGCATCACTGACATGTGGGATGCAGTGCTGCCAGATGTGCTGGTGGTGGCAAATGGCCTCAGCTGCTTTAAATTAGAAAGCGAGATAAGGTTTGTGGAGGAGAGCAGTCCAGCAGCAAAAAAATGAAGCTTGCATGTTCAGGTGCAGTGTACCAGGCTTCTGGGACGTGGGTGACGCTGTGGGTTAAACCACTGAGCCGATCAGAAGGTCGGCGGTTTGAATCCCCACGATGGGGTGAGCTCCCGTTGCTCGGTCCCTGCTCCTGCCAACCTAGCAGTTTGAAAGCACGTCAAAGTGCAAGTAGATAAATAGGTACCACTCCGGCAGGAAGGTAAACGGTGTTTCTGTGCGCTGCTCTGGTTCGCCAGAAGCGGCTTAGTCATGCTGGCCACATGACCCGGAAGCTGTACGCCAGCTCCCTCGGCCAATAAAGCGAGATGAGCGCCGCAACCCCAGAGTCAGTCACGACTGGACCTAATGGTCAGGGGTCCCTTTAACTTTACTTTTACCAGACTTCTAGTAGGAAGAGGAAGGAGCACTCTTGATCCAGCAAGTTCTTTTGTATAGGGTGCAAGCCAGAGGATGGGCGGGGGGGGGAGTCTACCCTTCATCCCTCCCCCAACATAAGGCTGCAAGATGACAAAAGAGGTCTTTGATCTAAAATATCCAGCTCTATAGAAGGGTCGTGTGGGCTTTGCCCTGGCAGGAGCAGAGGCTTCTGTCTGGATAGGAAACGCAGGCAGGTGGGAAATTCATTTCCCCTGTTTCTCCCGGGGCAGAAGAACATGAGCTATGTAAGGGCTTCAGCAAGCCACGTGAACTCTTGGAAGAGCCGACGGCTGACATTTCGGGACCAGATCAGACTTTCCATGTCTGACTCACTCAGGCTGCTGCCTTATGAAATATCTGGGGTGTTCTAGGGATAGGCGTAAGACATGAGATTTGTGGGTTGTTGTTTTTAAAAGGGTTCGGAGCCTGCAAACATTCGCTCAGTGATCTCCTCTCTCTCCCAGTTCTCCAAATTTAGCAACAGAATTAGGAGGGAATGCAATGAGTGGAAAGGAAGCGAGGAGAACAGCCTTTGAACTAGGGTGTTAATAATCCATTTCCAACACCGGGCTTCAGCCTAGGCAAAAGGGAAGCAAGAACAAACAGCAGAACACTTCTGAGCATGCGCAGAGTGCCTTTCCTACTTGCATTGGGGAAAGACCACACCAGCCCACTCCTCCATCTGAAGGGTTTGAGATTAGGGCTTTGTAGACATAAGAAGTCAAGCTGTGAGCCTCAGGAAGTCTTCCTGTAAGAATGGATCTCTGCAAATTTTTGTGCTAGAGAAAAGTTACCGTATATTTCCAGCTGCCAAGGGAAACACAGAATGCTAGAACTGGATGTACTGTTTTACTTAATTCCCCCCAAAACTGGCTGCCAACCTCTTTCTCTCCCCTGTCCTCCCCTCCCTGCCTTTTCTCAGTTATTAGTTCCTAATAATATTTGCTTCTTGTCATCTCTGTGCTTTGGATCCTGTCTTGATGTTGCCCATAGCACCCTGGTTGATCTTATTTTATGTGCAAATAACATTTAACTTTGCTTTGGGAACTCCTGCTCTCTTTTGAAGGGGTGTCCTATCCGTGTCTGGTTTAAAGGCAGAGAACCATGAACAGAGAGGGCAGAAACTTAAATCTATACATATAAATCTGCATATGCAAATCGGCTTCCTGTTAAGTCCTCTCTTTTCTTCGCATAAGTGACAGCTGAAGAAAATACAGGTTCCTGGGATGGTGAAAAATCGTTACAAGCTCCCACCCTCAGATAGGATAACCTACTTGTCTAAAGTAAGGGTTAGCAACTGGCAGCCATCAGGCTGCAGCCAACACCCAGGGAAGGTAGACTTTCCACATGCCAATCTAGAATAAAAAATAAAAAATGGATTTTCTGGAGGTAGAAAAAGTAAGAATTTGCCAGTAAACTGTTTTTAAGAATTAGCTAGAAGGCCAATTCAGACTTGCCCCTGCTCTGCCACTTTCCTCTGCAGAAACCCGATTGGAGGAAAGACCATTCCGCCCCCCGCCCCGGATTGTTGTTTACTTCAATTTATTGCTAAAGAGTGAGTTTTTCTGGGGAAAGCTGCAGAGCAAGGGCAAAACCGCTCGGACCCATGCCTAGAACGCGCTGGACAAGTGGGAAACCTGTGTTTATGTAAGTCTGGATGGAGCCCCGAGTCTCTCCAAGAAAAGTACCATATTTTTCGCTCTATAACACGCACTCGACCATAACACGCACATAGTTTTTAGAGGAGGAAAACAAGAAAAAAAATATTCTAAACAAAACAGTGGATGTATGATTTTTGTGGTTCATGCTGTGGCCACAGACATGTGATCTGATGGTGAGTTTGGGGTAGCCCAGTGCAAAAATCCTGAGGATCCATGTGGATCCATGCTTTGTAACCACGTTTTTGTACCACTGCGGCCCCAGGCAACAGTGGGTGCATGATTTTTTTGGTGCAAGCTGTAGCCATGGACATGCTATGTGATCTGATGGTGAATTTGGGGTGACCCAGTGCAAAAATCCTGAGGATCCATGTGGATCCGTGCTTTGTAACCAGGCTCTCTGTCCCTCTCTTCTCCCCACTCAGTGGCTCTTCTCCCGCTTTGCTGTTTCAAAGCGACCAAAGCGAGCCACGGAGGAGGGAAGGGGAACCATGGATCCTCTGCTCACGACTGCAGCAAATCCCCCCGCCATCCGTAGGCATTCGCTCCATAACACGCACAGACATTTCCCCTTACTTTCTAGGGGGAGAAAAGTGAGTGTTATGGAGCAAAAAATACGGTAGTTGCTGAGTTGGGATCTCAGGGGCTTCCTGGCGCACTTGATGGCTTCAGAAGTGGATTGGGCAGACTCATAAGAGGACAAGGCTATTGATGGCAACTAACCACTATGGCTGTGATCTGCTACTCTTGTTGGGAGGCAGAATGCCCTCTGGATGCCTGCTGCTGAGAATGCGAGGGAGAATGCGATTGGCTTCCCATTGGGCCACTGTGAGATGAGGTGGTGGGACCAGATGGGCCTTTGTCCTGTCCCAACAGGGCTCTTATGTTCGGACTCTCTGGGCGGATGCTGAGGGGAAGGGCTGCAGCCCAAGTGGTAGAGCATCTACGTGGGGCTACCTTTGAAGGTGACCCGGAAACTAGAATGCGGCAACTAGACTGGTGACTGGGAGCGGCCGCTAATACCATATAACACCAGTCTTGACAGACCTACCGTACATTGGCTCCCAGTACGTTTCCCGGCACAATTCAAAGTGTTGGTGCGGACCTTTAAAGCCCTAAATGGTCTCAGACCAGTATACCTGAAGGAGTGTCTCCACCCCCATCGTTCTGCCTGGACGCTGAGGTCCAGCTCCGAGGGCCTTCTGGCAGTTCCCTCACTGCGAGAAGCGAAGTTACAGGGAACCAGGCAGAGGGCCTTCTCGGTAATGGCACCTACCCTGTGGAATGCCCTCCCACCAGATGTCAAAGAAATAAACAACTATCTGACTTTTAGAAGACATCTGAAGGCAGCCCTGTTTAAGGAAGCTTTTAATATTTGATGAATTATTGTATTTTAATATTTTGCTGGAAGCCGCCCAGAGTGGCTGGGGAAACCAGCCACTAATAATAAATATATTATTATTATTATTTATTATTAAGCATCTGCTTTTTAAGCAGAAGGTCCCAGGTTCAATCCTGCTTGAAACGCCGATGAGCCGCTACTGGTCTGTGCAGACAATGCTAAGTGAGATGGACCAGCGGCCTGGCTCTGTTAAGCCTGTTTCCTCTGAGGCTGTGCAAGTCAAGTTCCCGCCCTCCCCGCTTCCAGAAAAAGGGCAGCCACAAAAAAGAGAGAGGCACAGGGTGGAAATGTTCAAGGGGGAACATATGTGCCATAGCCAGGGGCCTTTCCACCTCTGCTTTCCATATGCTTCCAAACTAATCCCAGCTGCGCTTAGAGGAAACTTTTTTGCGGAGCTGAGGCGGAAACTTTGCCAGTCCTCCGACCCAAATGAGCAAAACAGCCCTCCGTCCTTCGGCGTTTCTGCAGCAAGAAAACTAGGCCGAAGCGCTTCTGGGCTGTTCGTCCTGCACTTGATGTTATATGTTACTGATTATCCTGGCTACGTTAGAAACAAGGCCTTGACGTTTAATCAGGAAAGGAAACAAGGGAGTTTGTCCTTGTCCCTCATCCAGCAGTTGATTCCCTTTGCCCTTCGACCAAGAAGAATCCCATTGTCCTAGATGAATGAGAATCTTCCAGGGTTATTCAGTGATAAAAAACAACAACTCCTAACGATAGTCCTGTTAACTGTTTTCATATCATATGATTTGGAATTGGGAAACAGGTTCTGGAGCTCAGATGAATTTCTGCTTCGCTTCCCCTACATCGCCCTGCCTTCCAATTCCTGTTTGTGACCCAGAGCTTTTATTTCCTGCTCTAAAGAAACGAGTTTAGGAAGCAACGAATTCAAAGCGTCCTTGTATTCTGTGAGAAATTCCAGTGGTTGGCATAGAATCATTGAACATTCCCAGTAAACGCATAGAATTTCAAATTATTACTAGATAAGTCACTGGGATATGGGCTTTTCTTTTGCCTGGTAATGGCTTTTTCAAAATTTGTGTTATTTTCAATTTTTTTGAAAGGTTGTGATTATAGGTTAACATATTCTTATATATACAGAACATGTCTCCTGAGCTGGGTTCTCAGACTTCTGAAGGAAGAGACATCCGAAACAGGAAGTCCATTTCTGAGGCGGTTCCACTTTTTTGCCTCTCTTAGGTTTGTGGGATGTGTCATCTCTCAATTCTTATTTTGTTCAGGCCTTACCTTTTCCATGAAATCTTGGGCCTTTCCCAGCTTTTCTCAAACTTTCCCAACTTTCCCCTCCTCGTCTGAAGTTCCACCTCCCAGCCCACACACCAGTGATTTGTTCCTCAGGTGGACATGTGTGCAACTGCGCATAGTGTCACGATCTGTGGAGATGCACCCCCCAAAAAAGAGCTGGTGGTCCAAGCAAGGACATCTCAGTAGTTCCTGGTTCCCCAGGCAGGCAGACAAGACAGCATGTCAGGAGTAAGGCAAGGGAAAAGCCAGCAATTCAAAAGGTTTCAGGACCACAGAGAGCACTCTTAAGCCACAAAGTCCTGGGGCAAGCGGCTGGGTTTTTTTACGTAGTTAAGTAGTCCCTGACACCATGAATGCAGCCACTTGACCAGCTAGCACCTTTGGCTGGCTCCTTCAAGGTACAGTGGTACCTCTGGATGTGAACAGGATCCATTCCGGAGCCCCGTTCACATCCTGAAGCGAACGCAACTGGCATCTGTGCGGGTTGCGATTCGCCGTTTCCATGCATGCCCGTGACGTTGTTTTGAGCGCATGCACATGCGGCGAAACCTGGAAGTAACGTGTTCTGTTACTTCCAGGTCGCCGCAGAATGTAACCTGAAAATGCTCAACCCAAAGCTACTTCAACCCGAGGTATGACTGTAACGGGATTTCCAATTGAAAGGATCTCCCCTGAAAGCTCTCTTGATCCCCTGAGTAGCCTGTGATTGGCTACCAGAGTCTGGCACAAGGTTTCCCAACTTGGGTCTCTAGCTGTTTTGGGACTACAATTTCCATCATCACTACTGGTCCTGCTAGCTAGGGATGATTGGAGTCCAACAGCAGCTGGAGACTGTTTCAGAAACCCTAGTACAGCAGCAGAAGTGTCTCCTTAGGGCTGAAGGGAGAAGAGGCAGGCTCTGATGCCTGCAGATCCACATGGGACAGACTGGGACATGGATCCATCTCCTCTAAGCTCCAGTTGCCAGAGCCCTGTGCCACCAATAAGGAATTATCCACATTTACTTTATGCCCAGCTCTTTCCAGGCAGAGGTCCATGCTTTAACACTGTGCGTCTGAGCGTTGTTTATTCCCTGCAAAAAGCTGCACTATAAAGCTCAATTGGAGCAAACGTCAATTTGGGTTTTCTGTGGATTGATGTTTGCTCCAATTGAGCTTTAAAGAGCGGGTTTTTACAGGGAAGTATCTGGAGCAAAAAGGAAGGTGCTCAAAACCTGAGTTTTAAAGTATGGACCATACTTGAAAAGAGCAGTGGAAAGTTAAGTGTAAAGGTAAAGTACCCTTGAACAGTTAAATCCAGTCAAAGGCGACTATGGGGTGTGGTGTTCATCTCGCTTTCAGGCCAAGGGAGCTGGCATTTGTCCACAGACAGCTTTCCTGGTCATGTGGCCAGCATGACTAAACCACTTCTGACGCAATGGGACACTGTGATGAATGCCAGGGCGCATGGAAGTGCTGTTTACCCTCCCGCCACAGAGGTACCTATTTATCTACTTGCACTGGTGTGTTTTCAAACTGCTAGGTTGGCAGAAGCTGGGACAGAGCAATGGGAGATCACCCCATTGCATGGATTTGAACCGCCGATCTTCCAATCAGCAAGTTCAAGAAGCTCAGTGGTTTATAAGCCCCTAAGTCCTAGTCTAGGGCCATAACACACATCCTTTTCCTCTAAATTGGAGTGCTAACACCAACAGGATGGGAACAGGATACTTTTGACCCTCTCCTCCCCTGAAAGCATCCTGCTATTTTGTATTCAGCTAGTTGATATAAAATTGTTTTTCATTTTAGAAGCTCTCTTGCACAGAATAGTGAAATGTTTGAGGGTCAAAAGTACAAGGCGATGTTTTGCACAGAAGGGTCAAAAGTTCAGCCTAGGAATCTGGCAATCAAAGGGAAATAGAAAATTAATCGGAATTCTCTTTTCCTTCTGATTGGCTTAAAGGTTGGAAAGGGAAATGAAAATACTGTACACAAGCTAGAAAACAGCATAGTTTATTGGAGAAGTAGAAGAGTTAGTTGTTGAGTTTGGAGCTGGAGGACGGAAAGAAAGAAAGAGAGATGAAACACTTTATGAATGCAGGAAATGTTAGGAGAGCACAGTGGGCATTGCAGCTGAAAGGAAAAGACTCCAAAGGGACCTAGAAGCTGAAGTGAAGGGTGCAAATTGATAATTATTGGCCTGGTTAGGGAGACAGATTAGAATAAGCATAGCTGTTTGCATTTACCTCTGTTTTCTATTTGCTTTTATCTGTAACTACACAAACTGTAAAATTAGCTTGCTTTCTAAAATTAATTTCCCAAGAATTATTTAATGTGCTGCCTTACTAAAACTTGTAAGTAAAAGCATACAGTGGTACCTTGGGTTAAGTACTTAATTCATTCTGGAGGTCTGTTCTTAACCTGAAACTGTTCTTAACCTGAAGCACCACTTTATCTAATAGGGCCTCCCGCTGCCGCCACGCCACCAGAGCACGATTTCTGTTCTCATCCTGAAACAAAGTTCTTAACCCGAGGTACTATTTCTGGGTTAGCGGAGTCTGTAGCCTGAAGCGTATGTAACCTGAAGTACCATTGTACTGCGTTTTGGAAAAAGTTTGATCTGCAGCTTTGTTATTTATGCCATGTGTAAGTTCCGTACCTGTCTACCAATTAATGTCCAAAAGGTTCAAGAGCTGTTCAATGGACGCAGCCAGAGAAAAATAAACCCTGTTGCCTCTCCCTGGCTTTTTCTCTAAATCAGAAAGCCCCTAATGCTGTAGTCTCCAGACACATCTGTATGCACTTGTGAAGGAGAAAGTGGCCATCTGCTTTGGCCTGGAAACTGCTGAGGAAAGAAAGGCCTAAGGCAGGGTTCAGTAACCTGCGGCCCATGGGCCACAAGCGGCCCACAGGGGTCATTTAAACAGCCCACGAGCCGCCCCCGAACTGAGCCACTGTGATGGCCTGGGATTCGGACTCGGAGGCTGAACCTGAGGGATCCCAGCCTGCACAGGATTCCCCGCCTCCAGAACCAGCTGAGCCAGGGCTGGGGCCTGAGCCTGAAGGGTCCTCAGCTGTGCTGGATCCTCAGGTGCAGGCATCAGCTGAGTCTGCTCTGGCTCCTGGGGCAATGGAGGACCCATTGCCTGCAGGTGCTCCACCCTCAGCCCCGTCAGGGGAAGAGGAGGTTGCCTCTGGGTCCGGTAACCCTCCAGCCTCTCCTGAGCTGCAGAGGCTCAGGGCAGAGAGGCGGAGGGAACTAAGTTCCCGCAAGAGGAGTGCTTGCCTCCAGGCCAGGAGAGGCGAGTCACCAGAGGATCGGGAACTCCCCATGCCTTGGGGCAGATAAAAGCCGGCCAGCCCCTGTCCCAAGTTGCGGGAGCAACATTGTTGGTAGCCAGTTCCTGCCTGCACCCTGTCCTGCTTTCCTGCCGGAGCTCCTGACCTCACCCGACTCCCTGCCTTGCACCCAGCTTCAGCTTTGACGGACTGCCTCCATACTGCACCCTTGACCTCGGACTGGACTCGGACCTTGCCTCACGGTTCACCCATGGGACCAGCACAGCCACCCACTTAATGAGTCCCCGTACACTGTGCTGAACCGGCACAGCGCGGAGCGGGGACTCGCTTCCGCGGTGCCGGAAATCGCGTCCGCGCATGTGCAAACACCGGAAATCACATCTGCAGATGCCAGAAATCACTCCTGCGCAGACACGATCCGGCCCACAGAGCGATCTCCGCGGGAGTGAACCGGCTCAGGCAAGGTAAACCTTGCTGACCCCTGGCCTAAGGGCAAGTAGTGTTCAAAATGGCGGCCCACATAGTCATCACTCAGGTGATTGTTGGCTCTGGTTGGCTGCCTATGGCCCTTGGCTTGTTGTTAACCATTCCAATAGGATCCCACTTGGCCTGAGGTCTCTCCCCAACTATGCCTCACTGAGGAGAAGCCTCCATCTTGGAAACAAGTGCCAGTTGACCAGGTTAATGTACCTTCACCGAGGGTTTTCCCCAAGGCCACCTTGTGGCGATCTATCATGACGTCTCGCAGCTTCTCTTTCAGCTCCTCGCTAATGCCCAGGCTGTTCACTGTCACAAGAAAAGGAAAAAAGAGAGAGAAGGTCACGGCACATTATGCACACGGCCATCACGGGGCCCACACCTCCAGGTCTCCGTCACAGACCAGGATGCGGGGTTTAAACAGGGAGAGGATAGGGAAGGCGGCCTGATTTCTAAATGTAGTTGGAGAAGGGCTGGGGTGGTTAGTTGTTTGGCCCTTCAAGCTTTCAAAGAACCCTCAACCAATAGGCCAGCCAAGATGCACCAGCCGTTTTCATCTCCTGCTGTTGCTGAGAGCATTTCGCCAGGTCCTGTGTGGCTTCCAGCCTAATTTTCTGATTGTCTGGGAGCCCTATTTAAGCTCTTTCAGCTCAGGTCATTCCTCTCACTTCTGAGCCAGCAAAACAAGAGTTTTCCAAACCAGAAAGGCCATCCCTTCTTGCTCTCCCCTCCCCTTGCCAGGTGTCTAAGTTTTCTTTTCCAGGGGAGACGTTCCATTCTGTGGTTACTGAACACACAAAGCATCTTCACTGGGCTGTTTTGGGCCCGTTAAATCTTTCATATTTTGTAAACCTTGGCATTCTCCCGAGTATGCAGATACCTTCCTCTTCTTTCTCAGCGGCCCTGTTTTTCATTCAAATTCATTGGCACTCCCTACCTGAGCTCACTTTTAGAGCGGCTCTTCAATGAGGCGAGGTGAAGCCATTTGCCTCAGGCAGCAAATCTGACTGCCTCATCGTCCTCTCCATCGCCAGCCCTGCTGGATTTTCGCCCATGACACTGTGGCAGCGCAGGGGTGACGGTAGGGGGCAGGATTTGTAGCGGTCACAGCAGTGGCATGGGTGTCATCAGGATGCAGCAAAACGACTTGGGCAGGCCCTGGGAGCGATAGTGGGCTCAACCCAGAAATAATAATGGCCAGTAATGTCTCTGTCCTGCTTCTCCAAATATTGTCGAAAGCAGGTTTGAATATCAAACCGTTGCAGGGCCAAAGCGCCCTGCGTCAAGGAGACTGCAAGGAGCAGCAGCCATGACTGAGGCAAAAGATGGGAAGAAGGCAGGCGGAACCACCAAATTAAGGAGACAATAGCTGATGTCTGCCGAAAAAGAGCATTGGGCGGTGTTTGTATATGGGGAATAACCTACAACTGTGGTGGAGGTGGGAGCATTCCTTGTTGGATCCTGGACAACAAGGCTTGGGCACAATGCATGCTGGGTAGTTGGGAAAGGCGGACTCACTCCTTCCGTGACACTCACAAGTGGCTTCGGTGGTCCGGCGGCTGTAGGATTTGCGGACTCGGTAGTGGACCACCAGCTCTCCCTGCTCCATGCTGGGTTCAAACGCTTCCCTGTGGAATGGGCAGGAGGAGAGAAACAGACAGTGAAACAGGAGAAGCTGCCAGAACCGGTGTCACAGAATCACAGAAAGGCGAGATGGGTCCCTCAGTGGTCATCTAGTCCAACCCACTGCAATTCAGGAATCTCAATGAAAGCATCCATGGCACGTGTCCGTTCTCCACTTACCCATAGCGGGTTTCCTTCCTCCTCATCCGTGCCAAGAAGATGATTATGAAGGCGGCAGCGGCGGCGGCCGTGGCTATGGCAATTACCACGTACCACCAGTGCCAGGAGAAGGCAGGGGCGGTGGTTTCTACTACGGAGAAGGGAAGAGGAGTAAGGGTCAATGGGAGGAGCCATTCCAGTTGCCCATCCAGCGCATCACCTTGTGGGATGTGATACATAAGTAGCAGTCAAGTATAACATTCCTTGTTTTTCTAGAGTGGACATGCGGGGGAATGTTTGGTCCAGCCAGTCGAAAACTTCCTGTTTCCTCCTGGGCTGGGACATACTTCCTTTGCATGTGACTAGAGGTGGGTGTGACCTTACCTGTCCAGGTAACAAAAGGACAAGGCACACAGCACTCTTCTCTCTTTGACTTCTTCCATCATTGGAGCAGTTTTTAGCTAGAGATGCTCTGGTGGCTTCCAACCAACAGAGGACACTGGGATTATCCCCATATGGGATAGCTCCACATACTTTGTAACTAAGTCTGCCTTCAGGGATCCAACTGTGAACTGATGGTGCTGTGAGTAAACTTCTTTTACTGACTCTCAATAAGATTGTTGTGTGTTTATTCTTTTAAGAGGGATAAAAAGGGAACTCACCAGGAACATACAATTCAATACTGAATTGTATGGTATTGAGAGGCTTACACAAGCCTGCAACCAGCTACCCACTGTGCATTAAAAGGGGAATGTAAAACTCTGCTAAGTAAAGGAACTTGCTAGCGCAAGTTAGGAGGGATATTAATAAACAATATATCCTCTCCTGCCTCCCTGAACATACACACACACCTTTCCCTGCCTCGGCTGTGCACACGACATACATTTAAAGCACCTAAGTTGCTAAGTTGTCCCCAGAGAATCCTGGGAATTGTAGTTTACTGCAAGCACCCTAAACAAACTACATTTCCGAGGATTCTTTGGAGTGGAGGACAATGTGCTTTAAGTGTACGGTGAGCAGGCAGCCCCTGTTACTGTTTAAACTGGAAGAATAGAGGAGAGAATCCATTGACCGAATCTGGGACCAAGTACGATGCTGAGGGGAAGATATGGGGATCTCCTAGTTTTTTGGCAGCCAGCCGAGTTCTCCTTAGAAACCAGGGTGGATAAAAATCAATGATTTTTTAAAATAAATAAATAAATAAAAACCAGATTTTTAAAAAATTTAAATTGGATTTTTTAAAATTTAAATTGGATTTTTAAAATAAAATGCTTTTGGAGGAAAAATCTTTCTAAAGATAGTTTTCTATTTGTTACATTATAGTCCCAAGGCTATTCATCAGGATTTAAGCTTTTCATGTGTGCTAAAATTCAGTCTAAGATTTTTTGGTTGTTTGTTTTTTCAAATCATTTAACCACATCAGTTAACAAACATGGATACATATGCTATAATGTTATTGTTTTATTAAATAAATTGTTTAAATTGTTATTAAGGAAATGATTATTTTTCGCCTTCCAATCAAGTACAGCAGAAAAGTTGTCTAAATATAAACAGTTAACTTATAAAACCTCACAATAATTTCATAATTATCTGTCAATGTATTTTTAATAGTATAACCAAATCAGAAATTTTTGATATAACTATAAAAACTACTCTGAACATATATTATTTCAAGAATGAAACCTTCACCTGGTTGTAAATATTAAGATTATACCAGCAAGAATGAGTCTTTCTGTAAAAAAAAAATGATTTAAATCAAGTCTTACTGACTCGTGATTTAAATAAAATCCACCCTGTTAGAAACCAACACTTCCTACACCACTTCAGGCTGTGACGTTTGAAAACAACTGCCCCACATCCCAAACTCTTAATCCAGTTCACAGTCTTGGACTGGAAAGAAGTGTGTGATTCTGTCAGTCAAACTTGGCCTTGAGAATTTTCCGGCGAAAGTTCAATATAAAATTTCCATGAAAACAAATTTTCAATAAAAATCCCAGTTGGAACCGAACTAAAAAGATCCTCAGTGTGTTTAGGAATCCCCTGCACTAGCTTCTTGGTCCTTCCCAATCCTTTTGTTCAGATGTTTCCTGCAGCCAAAGCAGGTGTGTGTGTGTGTGTGTCACAAAAATCGAAAATATCCTAATCAAAATGGGAATGCGGGTGGAAGGCAAATATGCAGTCTTCCCCACGTCCCCATCTTCCTCCCTGCCAATAGTCACAAAACACACAAACCCTTGCACCTCCTTCTCCTCCTAGAGGAGCCATTTTGAAAAAGGAGAGCAATGTCGCCCTCAAGCCTGGTCACGAGGTATTGCCTACACCGGGGAACTTTTAGAAAACAAGTTTTGATTTATTCTTATTATCGCAAGAGAGAAACAAAACCAAAACAAGATATAATCAAATTAGCCAACACCAAAAGAAAGAAAGAAGGAAAGCAGATTTCCAGAACAAAGTGCTCTCTGGAATGTTCTAGAAGGAAACGGCACCGCCTCTCATTCCCCGATGCTGCCCATCCCAAAATCCCAAATCATTTCTGTAGGTCGCGGGTAGAGTGTTATGCACTGTTCTTACCTGGCTGGGGCTGTGGCAGTTCATCTGTAAAAGAAATATATATATATATAAATTATTTGAATATGGTCTCCCTCTAAGCCAAATGTCAGCGTCAAACTTCCGCCAACAGGGCCTCAGGCTGTTTTTCTGGGGACATCAAAGAGAATCAAAACTCCTAAAGCAGAAAGCACGGGTCCTGTTTTATAACCAGCTTCAGTTTCTGTGACTCCGCAAGGCGCCAGAAGCCATCGTAACAAGAAGTGGGATACAAATTAGAAGCAGGAGATCCTGCTAGATCAGAACCAGGACTGAGATCAGGAATTGCCCAACACAGAACCATTCTTAGAAAGCAGGAAACTGAAGGCTGGGCCAGAAGAACGAAACAAAACAAAAAGAGAGATCAAATGATCGTTTTGGAAGAACCACCAAGGAGTTGGGAAACAGTTGGGAACAGTTAAGGAAAGGACTTTAAAAACAAAACAAAAAAAAACTTATTTTTTTGGCAGCCAAACGATTCCCCCATATCTCATATGATACACTTAGAAAGATATGCAGGAATAATTGGCTATGAAAACGGAACTTTATTTATTTCAAGTATTACTTAACCGGTTTCATCATTCTGGGTCTGAACTCTTTGGACCGTATCCTACGTTAGTCAGAGTAGACCCCCTGGGCAGCATCCAAGGAAACAAATTATGCTGTTATGTAACTTCCCCCACCCTCTCCTTTCCCTGTGCTTCTGTTATTTGCCACAACACTAAAGCTTGTGAGGGAAACCCACCCCCACCCCCGCCAAAAAATAATAATACACATTATCTCGTATTCCTTACCGACATCCCCAGTTGAAACCATGATGGCTTTGCTCCAGGGACCGTCTCCTGCTTGAGTGTAGGCTGCGACACGGACGGTAAGATTGTGTACGGTTTTGTTCAGGTTCAAGACGGTCTCGTTGGTCAGCCCCACGTCCACAACCACCTGGTGGAGAGGGAGAGAGTGGCGAAAACGCCAGGCGGGGGATTAGGAAGATGGCGGGTGATGGCTCAGGATAATTACAGGGAAGTCAATGGGGAGGGTGCCCTCTCCAGTCCTGAGAAAGGAGGTCCTCACCTCGGGCGAGTCGCCGCTTTGACAGACCAGCTTGTATCCGCGTATGATCCCGTTGATGACGCCACGCGGCTCTCGCCACTGCACGATGGTGCAGGTGCCATTCTGAGTGGCCATGATGTTCTCTGGTGCAGCGGTGGGCACTGCCGTGGAAAAGTGTACGTTACAATGGAAACACTGCGGCCATGACCCTTTCTCATTAGCCACAAAGAGGCGTCAGGCAAGTGGCTATAGCCCAGTCTCAGCCAATTGACTGGTAACAACCGTTGTCTAAGCTTCTAAACCACTGATTCTCAAACTTATTTTCCTCTGAGCCACACTTTCAAGATAACCGTTTGGTCGAGCCACACCGAATTTTTTTAATGATAAGAAATGCATTGGAAAACAAAAAAGAAACACTCTTAGCACAGCTTGATTTATAACAGAAAATGCAAGTATTATATGGTATGATTGTGGGATGTCAGGAAAGTATAAAACAATGCAGCTACATAAGAACGTGAATCACTCCCAAAATACAATGATAAATGAACCTCCTATGCATGGACTTTAAGTACGCAATTCAGTGAGAGAGGTGAGCTTGCTTTTGCTGGGTAATCTCATTTATATAAGGTCTAATTCGAGACAAACTCTTATGAACACAAAAAAAGCAGCCCTCTTTTCTGATCTTTCATATTTGTCCGAGTTGAAAATCCCTGTTCAGAACAATAAGTTGTGGAGAAATCATTTTGGTACTATCCCATCCTAATGTTTAAATGTTTCTTTGATTGCCCTTGAATCTTCCAGCTACAACTGCTTTCCTCTCCCACCAAGCCACAGTGGCAGGCCACACTCTTTGAGAACCACTGTTACTCTCTAAACCAATGTTTCCCAACCTTGGGTCTCCAGCTGTTTTCGGACTAAAGTTCCCATCATCCCTGACCAATGGCCTTGCTAGATAGGGATGATGGGAGTTGTAGTCCAAAAGCAGCTGGGAAACTCTGACTCTAAACCAGCCTTTCTCAACCTTGGGTTTTTGGACTACAACAGGGGTAGGCAACCTAAGGCCCAGGGGCCGGATGCGGCCCAATCGCCTTCTCAATCTGGCTCGCAGATGCTCCAGGAATCAGTGTGTTTTTACATGAGTAGAATGTGTCCTTTTATTTAAAATCCACCTCTGAGTTATTTGTGGGGTTTGCCTGGTGTTTTTACATGAATAGAATGTGTCCTTTTATTTAAAATGCATCTCTGGGTTATTTGTGGGACATAGGAATTTGTTCATTTCCCCCCCCCCCAAAAAAAAATATAGTCTGGCCCCCCACAAGGTCTGAGGGACAGTGGACCGGCCCACAGCTGAAAAAGGTTGCTGACCCCTGGACTACAACTCCCATCATCCCTGACTACTGGTCCTGCCAGCTAGGGATGATGGCAGATGTAGTCCAAAGCATTTGAAGACCCAAGGTTGGGAAAACCCTGCTCTAAGCCATGCGTTAGGCCCCTCTCCATCTTCCTGGCTTCCAAACTGGCCCCTCTCTAAGTTCAGAGACAACCTGTGGCCTTTCGGATGTTGCTTAGACCCCAACTCCCATAAGGCCCAGCTAGTATGTCCAACGGCCCAGAGGCTGATGGGAGTTGTAGTCTAGCAACATCTGGTTCCTCATTCTTGCTCCAAGCGGCACACCTCTGTGATTTCCTTTCTCCTCCGAGAGATCAAGGCAGAACCCAGAAGGATCGACCACCTATTCTCGCCCCCCCGACTCCCATTTCAAGCTCACCTCCTTCCAGGGTTTCCATAGCAACCCAGTGGGTCCACGGGGAGTTGCCCTCTCGGGAGCGACAGGACACCCGCACGTGATAGGTGGTGAAGGGGCTCAAGCCATCCAAGGTGTGGCTGAACGGCGGGACGTGGAGGTTCTGGTTATAGAGTTCCCGGTCCGACACGGTGCTGAGGTCCTCGTCTGAGCGCACAGCCTGGGAAAAAGGGGCAGGGGTAAGGATTTGAGGACGGCAAGGCAGCCTGTGCCGGGGATGGGTTGACGGGGCAGGAGTTAGGAACATATTATGCTCTACAATAATCTAGCTGAGATTCCTGCCTTGCATGAGATGCCCCTCTGGGCATAGAAGCCGACTCCTAGGGCCCCCCACCTATTTTTTTTAGGGGGCTAACCCCCCCCCCCAAGTTGATGGGCATTGCCATTCAAAAAGTGTGTGTGCACTGCACAACATGACTGATTTTGTGGGGTGGGGCTTACCTCCCTCCTCCTCAATGTTTTATTCAAGTTGGCACCCCTGCCTCTGGGACACCGTCCAACTATACAATTCTGTGATTCTATATGAAGCCTCCTTGGACCGTGTAACAATATTGAAGAATTAAAAGAAAAGAAAAGAAAAAGAACCCCCCCTCCCCTCTGCAGTGGCACGGTCCAGGATTTTCGCCAATTGCATAACATGTTTGATCGGCTCAAAGGCTTGATCTCAGCGATAGAATTCCAGACTGTACCACTTTGCAGTGCAGGTGGCACGTCACACTTTTTAAAAGCTCCATGTTGAAGCTCTCCTCCATTGGAGAAATTTAAAAGATTTGCCGATTTCCCAAAATCCCCCCCCCAGACACTAATTTCGTCATTGGAATCCCAGACATGTCTGGAAAGAGCCGAACATATGGCAACCCTACATTAGGACCTGCGAGAGACCAGGGTTCGAATGCCCACATGGCCATGACACTCGCTGGGTGTCTTTTGGCCAATCACTGCCTCTCAACCTCACCTACCTCACAGGGCTGTTGTGAGGAAGAGGAGCCACCACCTTGAGCAAATTGAATAAAGGTAAAGTAAAGGTAAAGGGACCCCTGACCATTAGGTCCAGTCGTGACCGACTCTGGGGTTGCGGTGCTCATCTCGCTTTATTGGCCAAGGGAGCCGGCGTACAGCTTCTGGGTCATGTGGCCAGCATGACTAAGCCGCTTCTGGCGAACCAGAGCAGCGCACGGAAATGCCGTTTACCTTCCCACCGGAGTGGTACCTATTTATCTACTTGCACTTTGAAGTGCTTTTGAACTGCTAGGTTGGCAGGAGCTGGGACCGAGCAACAGGAGCTCACCCGGTCGCGGGGATTCGAACTGCCAACCTTCTGATCAGCATGTCCTAGGCTCTGTGGTTTAACCCACAGCGCTACCTGCGTCCCTTACTTGAATAAATACATGTAATTAAATAAAAAAAAAGTGGAGGAGGATTTTTGTCTCAGAGGCACCTGTCTTCTGCTCTTGAGCAGTTTGCTTTGTTTTATGTGGGGAAAACATTCAAAACCTGCGCCCACCCAAACCCCAGACTGGTACAGATCACTCTGCCACCTCAGGCCCTAGAAGGGGACGGACAGATGGCCCCATATTTGAACACCCCGCCCCCTTGCTATCAGTTTTGTTTCCTGGCCTCTGCAATCCCTTTTCGAGGCTCTTTCAGTTCCCTATTCCTGAGAGCTTGTCACACGTCATGAGGGCATCCGGTTGGACATTTGAGAGAAGCAGAAGCTGGCCAGGAAATGGCTCCTAAAAATAAAACCGTTCCCTCGAAGGGCAGGGGCGAAAGTGGCCGAGTGAGGCATCCTTCCTCAAAATAGTTGGGCAAGGGAACTTGGGCTGGCTTCAAGGCTTCCCTTCTTACCTGGATGGTGCAGAACTCAAGAGCGTAGGCCCCACTCGGTCCTGGTTCCCACGTCACTTCCAGGTGGTGGTCACTACGATGCAGAAGGGATAAGGCACTAGGCCGCCCAGGTACCACTAGAAGGAAGATGTAAGAGAGCAGGTGTATGATATACCACAAGAGCTTACTGTGGAGGAAAGTCAAAAAGAGGGTGTTTTACAGCATGACCTTATGCATGTTTACTCAGATGTAAGTCCCACTGTGGTCAGTGGGGCCTACGTACTTGTGATTAGGATACAGGCTCCTTCTCACGGGCTTGTTCATCGTTACTGTGATCCGGAAGTTGCAAGAATACACGGCTTCCTTTTATAAAATACTTTACTGATAACCCTGAACAACAGCAACTACCAAAACCACAGATTGGACTTTGGCAAACTTAAATGGATTGATCTGTTCCTAGAGGGACGAGGGGGACGAGTTGGGGTTTTGTTTTTGCATCTTCTCTCTCTCTCTCTTTTTGGTAATTGTTATATATTGCAGATCAATAAAACTTTATTTTAAAAAGAATACTTGGGCAATTACACGAAGCACACTTATTGTGCCAGCTACCTTTCTAAACGCATGCCAAGGAATCCCTGCTGATGGAAAGCTAGCATCTCAAGGATAAAGGTTTCATCTTAAGTCTTATGCTCAACATGCTCATTTTCTACTTGCAGGGAATTGTGGTGGGGGGATGTGTCAGTAATGATCCAAATCCGCAATCTGAAAGTAGCACGTGCTCCTCCTGTAAACGCAGGGCAACTTGCCAAGTTAAAAAAGGATCTTTGTGTTGTATCTTTGTATTTGAAGTCCGAGTTTTTAAAAATGCAAATTGCATCAGCTGCGGAAGGGGGATACTACTTAACAGGATCAGAGAAGGTGTAGGAGGCTGTGTGTGTGTGTGTGTGTGTGTGGACACCTTCCCTTTCCTCCTCTCCTGTGGTCCTGATGAACATTCCTCCTCTGAAGCGAGTATATTCACTGGGGTTGAATTCTCCCAGACGCCCTCGCTGCCTTGGAGCAATTGATAAGATTTTCTCCCTAAGCAAAAAAACCTAGCTTCGTAAATGGGGCTTTCCTCCAGAATTGCAGCAGGGGGAGGAATTTCCCCTCTGTGCCTGCACAGATCCCATTAATTATCACACTCACCAGCTGACAGCGTTTGCATTGTTAAAAACTTCCGTGTTAAATCCAAATATGCATTTAGCTTCACCCTCACAGTGTACCTAAAGCAGTTGTGCTGCGGCGTTGGCAAAGGTCTCCATTTGCTCTAGGAATGCACCCCACAACCCATCCTCTCACCTGTCACCTTTGCAGTCCGAGATGTGCCCACCCCCTTATCGTTGTGGGCCTCGCATGAGAATGATGCGCTGTGATTCAGACCTGAGAGACGAAAGGAGGCACAAAAGTAGATATATTTAGTCATTATCCACAGCAACCTTGTTTTAAAACACAATGATTATTAGCATATCTGTTCCGTTTTTAGGTCTAAGGTGATTTTACGTTCCTAAGCTCATGAATCTTCGCAGTGTTTTTGTGAAGTCATTTGCGCTCCCAAGCTTACAGAGCGCTGCATGTTCATTATTTATAACCTAGGTCGCCAGGTGAATTTAAGACTGAGCGGAGACTTAAATCTCTCTCTCCCAGGCCCAAGTCTCACCCTCTACTCCACAAGGCAGTACTCAGGACCTCTCAGTTTTTGCCTTGCAAATCCAGCATCCCTGTAAAGTAGCTAATCTTCCCATTTTACAGATCTGGAAAGGAGACTGAGTCGTTAACCAGATAAATTATAGGGGAACAGGAAGAGTAAGCCCATGTTCAAACTATGGAGGGAGTGAGAGGTGTTAGTACCATTTGTGTGTTGAGGTCCCTTAATAAAATCCACCAAGGCAGGACCTCCTCTCCTGTTATTTGAGCTCCAGAATAAACTCATATATTCCACACCTAGCATGACATTCTGGGTACTTCTCAAGAACACACTGTGGACTTCTCAAGAGTAATGTACAACAGCACCTCAAACTCACCCCGCTCTCTCCAGTTTCAAATTACAGGCAAAGAAAAATCAGGGAAATGAGATTGGGGGCTATTCTGGGCTGTTATTACAGATTTCCAGCATGAAACATCAACCCCCCCCAAAAAAACCCTGCAACGCTTTTATTATTAATAATAATTTATCAAAAGAATAAAATACTCCATTGCCCAAAGTCCCCACGCACAAAGCAAACATTATTATTCAGAATAATTATTTAATCCCGGGTGAATAAAATGTCACCTTACTTACATTGAAATTAGCACCTCTGCTAATTAAACTGACTTGCATATGGTGCTTGGGTTTATGTGGCTTTTACACGTGTGTTTCATTTGTAAGGGACGCAGGTGGCGCTGTTAAACCACAGAGCCTAAGGCTTGCCAATCAGAAGGTCGGCGGTTCGAATCCCCGCAACGGGGTGAGCTCCTGTTGCTTGGTCCCTGCTCCTGCCAACCTAGCAGTTCAAAAGCACGTCAAAGTGCAAGTAGATAAATAGATACCGCTCCGGCAGGAAGGTAAACGGCATTTCTGTGCACTGCTCTGGTTCGCCAGAAGCGGCTTAGTCATGCTGGCCACATGACCCGGAAGCTGTACGCCGGCTCCCTTGGCCAATAAAGCGAGATGAGCGCCGCAACCCCAGAGTCGGTCACGACTGGACCTAATGGTCAGGAGACCCTTTACCTTTACCTTCATTTGTAAGGTGCTCTGAGCATCTCCTTTACGGAAGGGAAAAGCAGGGTGTGCTTTTTAAAGAGTAAACAATATTAAATAACAACATTCAGGAGGTCCCAGGTTCAGCCATGTAGGGCTGGGAGACAGAGAGAGATCCTCATCTAAAATCCTGGGGAGCTGCCAATACTCCCAATATTCTTCAACCTTGGGACCAATGGCTGGGGGTGAGTTGTTCCTCCACATCTGGTGACCCAAGGCTGAGGAGCAGAGAGCTAGACAAGGCTGAGCTAGATGGACTGTGGTCTGGCTTCCTGTGTCCTCCTGGGAACTGAATGGCCTCAGGTTCCGTGACGGAAGAAAAGGCAGGGCATAAACGTTAGAAAACAAACGGACATAAGAAAACAAAAGCCAGACTTTTGTCCTCCTCCAGGTCCCTTCCTGCCACCCTCCCCTCTACCCCAAAGAAACAACATCTGGGGACCAGTCCTCTGTCCCAGCTGGTATGTCCTGTTCCTTCCGCCCACCCGTCTGTGGTTTGGGTTTCCTCATGTCTGGTTCCAAGCTCCAAGCCTTGGCCCCGTTTCTGTGCTTTGGCTGGTCTCTCGAGCCAGGACTCCTGGGTTCGTTTATCCTGATTAGGGAAAAGGGTGGCTGGAGCAGGCGCTACTGCAAGAAACAGGGGCTGGCTTCAGTTGCCATCAGGACGGCCACAGGGAGCCCTCCGGATAAAGGTCTGCTTGATCCAGTTCTGGATTAAAGATTAAAAAAGGGTAAGAACTGAGAGGCAGCAGGGATAAGAACTGAGAGGAGCTTCCCTTCAACAGCCCAGGGGCAGCAGATTAAGCTGGCACACGCAGGTCACCCGATTACAGTGGGTTGGTGAAATATACTCAGAGTCGGGAGTGGATTTCATGCTCTTTATTCAGCTCATAGTGGTGAGGAGGAATGGAAGTTCCCCCAGAATTTCTGCTTTATATACATTATTTACATGGTGGGCCCCACGTGATTGGCTAATTCCGGGATTCTCCTGTAGGCCAATCTAGTTGTGGATTCCCTTGCACCTGGAGCTGGATTGGGTGGCTCCAGTAGACCAATCAGACTGCTGCATTCTGGATCCTATTGTTCTAGGACCAATCAGACTGCTGCATTCTGAATCCTATTGTTCTAGGACCAATCAGACTGCTGCCTTGCGGGTCCTATTCAACTCAGTACATAACAGTTGGGCTGAGGAAAACCTTCCATTGGAGAAAGGTTTTCTCTCCCTGCAATGGAATGGTTTCCTCCTCCCCATCCATCTGCACGTGTCGTAGAGGGAAGTGAGGGTAAGGTGAGCTACTTGGAAAGGTGGCCCATCTAGGAGCAAAACTCCGGTCCTAAACATCCGCTGCCTTGTGGGATATCTTTGGGAGAAGAAAAAGGCTACGGAGTAAACCCTACACAAATGTGGAGTGGAGTCCCTAAGGCGGTTGGATGGTGTCTTGTATGCTTCCTTTTGGCAGCTCCTGCAGCCAAGCTGGTGCCAAACATCTTGCTGTTTTCCTTTGGACCACATCAGTGAGGCCGAGAAAGGGGGTCTTGTCATTGGGGCAGCCCAGGACCTCCATGCGCACTGCCCGGGATTGCGCCCCTGGGAGGCCACTTTGGTACTGCTAACGCAGTGGTTTGGCTTCACACCCACCTGTCTCTCGAGACAGACAGATGCCAAAACAAATATGTGAATGAGGTCAGTATCTATGCACATGCTAACTGTGTTTAATTGGCCTTCACAGCTTGTTGGCTTCGATTTGCCTTACTATCAAACTCCCTGTAAGCTCCTTTACAACTAAGCTCCTCTTGTTAGTTTATCGCTGGTTTCGTTTCTTTTTAGACGTTTTAAATCGCTTGTTTTCAACCGCTTTTCTCAATAATTCCACTTGTAAATCCCTTAGAGATTTGTAACAGTAAAAGGCATATAATTTAAAAAATAAATGTAAAGAAGCAAGCAAAACCAAACAGTGCACAGGTCTAAAGTAATATTTTGTCCAAAAGTGAAATTATGGTGATACTGCTGCAGTTTTTGGTTGTGTTTAAAGGGCTATAGTCATTCATACATACATTCATTAAGGAAAGATTTGTTTTTTAAAAATCACATTTATCTCCCACCTTCTCCTTCAAGGATCTCATGGTGGCACACATTGGTTCTCTTCCTCCCCATTTTATCCTCACACAACCCAGCCAGGCTGAGAGGCAGTGACTGGCCCAAGGTCACCCAGTGAGATCGGGGATTTGAATCCCGGTCTCTTGGGTCCTAGTCCAACACTGTCATTTTCAGAGGAGCTGGGGAAGTGCTCAGTCTTTAAAGCAAGGATCTCTCACCACCTTTTTTGGGCCTGGGATCCCATTTGGGAATCTTTTTTTTAAATGCTTTTTATTCAGTTTTTCACAAACAAAAATAAAACAAAATAAAACAATATTTTACAGTCATCATTTTATGTCATCTTATTTACACTGCATCTATTCACGCCCAGACTTCCTTCCTTCCCGCTTTGGTTTTCTTCATATATATCTTCTATTGTAGATTCTTATTCACCTTCTATACACATCACAGGATTTATGTTAACCCTGCTATAGTTTTTAAACTTCTACAGTTAGTTCTTATATATGCCACAAATTTACCTCACTCTTCTTCAAACTTTGTCCCTTTTTGGTCTCGAATTCTGTAAGTCATTTTAGCTAATTCTGTATACTCAAAAAGTTTGGCCTACCATTCCATTATCGTTGGGGTCTCCTGTAATTTCCATTTTTGCGCCACAAGTATTCTAGCTGCTGCAGTAGCATACTGGAATAATTTATGGTCCTCCTTTTTTACTTCCTCCCCTATAATCCCTAATAATAAAGCTTCCGGTTTTTTCGGGAATGTATACTTAAAAAGTTGCTTCAGTTCATTATATATTAAATCCCAGAACTTTTTCATCCTTTCACACTCCCACCACATGTGATAGAGATCCCCATCTTTTGCAAAAGCAAAAGATCCCATTTGGGAATCTAAGGAACTTTGGTAAGAAACCACAAAACAACAATTTCACAGAAGAAAAACTGGCAATGCTCCCTCTGTAAAGAAAGCAGGCAACGTACCTACACATATTTTTTTTAAATAATATTTATTACTTTTATAGATTAAAAAAAGAGAAAAAGAACAAGAAAGAAAAAACAGGGGGGAAAAACAAAAGAGAAAAGCAAAAAGAAAAAAACAATACAATACAATATATAGACAATACAAAGCACACCCTAAACTCAAAACTAAACACATTAAACTAAACTAAACAAACCCCACTCCCTAACCTTAACCCTAAATGAAACAAAACAAAAACAATTTAAAAACATACATCATCTCTTTTCCATACTCTATCTTTCATTCCCTTGTTTCCTCAACCTCCTCTCACCTCCCTTTTTGTATTCCACTTCTATTAATTGTTTCAGCAAATCCTTGCCATCTTTCTCCATTTTCTGTAATATTGTAAATAACGTATTTTTTAACCTTATTTTCCATTAAAACTAAAATACTTATATATGCTTAACTCCTTATAACATTTCTGCTAAGCCCATAAAATAATAATAATAATAATAATTAAAAAAAAATCATTCCACCATTTTTCTATCACTCATTAGTTTTACCATAAGTCTATATATAAACTTTAAATTTTCCAATCTTATTCCACCATCTCCTCTCCCAGGTTTCGGATTCTGCCAGTCCTTTCCGTCAGCTCCATAAAGTCCATCAGCCTGGTGATCTTATGTCCGAGGCTCTTAACAATGTACCTACACATACACACACAGCAGGAGTGCCAGCTTGGCCTCGCAACTGTGGGTGCTCAGGGCTGTGGGTGCCATACAGTGTGCCCAGCCCCTTCATGGATAATTTTGTGGGTGCTTGGGCACCCAGGGCCCCAGGGAGTTGGCACCTATCTCTCGCTCCCTCTCTCCCCACCCCCCCTCTCTCACACAAATAAATAAATAAATAAATAAATAAAACACAGGACAGGCATAAAAAGCAGGCAACCCACAACTAAATAAGAAAAAATCCAAAACAAATTCCAAGCTATTTTTTAAAAATGGAAGGAGTGAGAAACCTTGCTAGGTGCTAAGTAAGGGCAATGCCTGAGAGTGACATAGTTTCCATGGGAACCATATTGGGGACCCTGGCTCTAAAGATTTTTTTTAAAAAATAGATGTATGTGTGTGTTTCTTTCAAAGCACGTAAAGGCACAAGCATGATGCAAGGAGGAGGAGTTTGCCATTAGCGATGACACAGTCACTAGCCAATAGGTTCCTCTGCCTCTTTTGCAACAGCATTCCATGCCGCAAGCTCCGTCACAGCAGTGAAGTGTGTGCGTCCCATTGCATTTTTGTGAAGTACTATGGCGAGCGAACATGATGTACGCACACAGACCCCACCGAGGACGAAATCCGCTGGCTGAATGAAAGCTTTCAGATCCCTGACGGCAACCAAGAGTCACTGCACTTTGAACACACCATTGTTACTGGGATTTGGCGAAGGGCCCAGATTTAACCCTCTCTCCCACGCAACAACAGGTGCTATTTTCTGACCGCGCCATTCCTGTAAGGACTGAGTCAGCCGGTGGGCACCCGGAAGCTGTCACCTGGACCAACTGATGGCATTTAAGGGGGGAGGGAAGATGTAAAAATCCAATGCCGGCAGACCACCTGCTTGGCGGTCCTGACATCCCTGTGGAGAGGCAAAGGCTAAGGGCCAAGTACCGCAGACAAGAGGCAAAGAGAGCGCGGGTGAACAACGGCCAGCCCCCTCACGGTGGTTGATGCTGCTCTCCGACCACATCATTCCTGCAAGGGCTGAGTCAGCCAGTGGGCAACTGCATAAACAGATGGCATTGGCAGGAAAGGAGCAGCCAGGGAGATCTGTACGGAAGCACCCACTTCGTTCCACATTAATGCAAAGCCTCACAGGCGAGAAGCTCTGTGGAGTTCACAGAGGCAACCAGGAATCAGAGAACAAGCTTGCCCCTTGTTGGAGGGGATCCCGAATGCCTTGGATCCCGAACGCCTTGGAACTCGGACATTTTGGCTCTCGAACGCCGCAAACCCGGAAATGATTGTTCCGGTTTGTAAATGTTCTTTTGGAATCCGAAAGTCCAACGGGGTTTCCGAGGCTTCCGATTGGCTGCAGGATCTTCCTGCAGCCAATCAGAAGGTGCAATTTGGTTTTCGAACGTTTTGGAAGTCGAAAGGACTTCCTGAACGGATTCCATTTGACTTCCAAGGTTGTACGACTGTACCTAGGTTCCCTTACCAGAGGCCACTAATAACCAGGAAACGAATCAAATGCATTTATTCATACGCACAAGGTAGCAACCCCGATGCGGAAGTCACTATGAAGGATGCAAATATAGAATCATAGAGTTGTAGTGTTGGAAGGGACCCCAAGGGTCATCTAGTCCAACCCCCTGCAATGCAGGAATCTCAGCTAAAGCATCCCTGACAGATGGCCACCCAACCGCTGCTTAAAAACCTCCAAGGAAGGAGAGACCACAAACTTCCACTATTGAACAGCTCTTCCCGTCAGAAAGCTATTTCTGATGTTTAGTTGGAATCTCCTTTCTTGTAACGTGAAGCTGTTGTTTGGGGACTACCCTCTGGAGAGAGAGAAAACAAGCTTGCTCCATCGTCTGTGTGAAAACCCTTTAGCTAGTGGAAGACGGCTATTCTAGCTCCTCTCAGTTTCCTCTTCTCCAGGCTAAACACACCCAACTCCCTCGACTGTTCCTCATAAGGCTTGGTTTCTAGACCCTCGATCATCTCGGTTGCCCTCCTCTGCACATATTCTAGTTTATCAATAGCCTTCTTAAATTACTGTATTTTTCGCTCTATAAGACGCACCAGACCACAATACACACCTAGTTTTTGGAGGAGGAAAACAAGAAAAAAAAATATTCTGAATCTCAGAAGCCAGAACAGCAAGAGGGAAGGCTGTGCAGTGAAAGCAGCAATCGCTCTTGCTGTTCTGGCTTCTGTGATAGCTGCGCAGCCTGCATTCGCTCCATAAGACGCACACACATTTCCCCTTACTTTTTAGGAGGGAAAAAGTGAGTCTTATAGAGCAAAAAATACGGTAGCGGTTCACAGCTTTGGACAATTAGCGTGCAATCAGTCCCTTTTGTCGTTATCCCATTTTACATCATAAGGCACAAGTGCTTAATCCGTCATTCTCTCCGAAGCTTCTGCAGCATAATTTGCCGCATCCTCCCGTCTCCTAGGAGGAGCGCAGAGAGCAGAAACGCCATGGTGAATCTGCAGCAGCATAACCGGACGCCTTCATCTGCCCCGGCTGCAACCAAACATGTCTCTCCTTCTTCGGTCTCTACGGTCACAGCAGGTGCTACAGCCTTCAAGCAGTTCGACTTCACCCCCCAAAATTCTCTCTTCCATGGTCTCCCGCCTAAGTGCTTAATCTGCAATTGTCTCTGAAACTCCTACAGCAAGATTTGCTGCATCCTCCATCTCCGGATGTCTCCAAAAGCTTTCTTATCTGCAACATAGCTCGCTCACTCCCTTTCTAGCACGTCACATTTGGCCTTGTTTTATTTCCACCCAGCAGTTTCTCTTCAAGACAATTTAACTAAATGATTTAACTATTTCGGTCTCTTCGCTGCCGTAAGAAGGGTCTGGTGAGGACACCCTTCCCTCGAGCTTGGTGCCCTCTGCAGTTGGTTATTTCTTTATTTATTGCATTTATATCCTACTTTTTCTTCCTCCAAGGAGCTCAACCACAGTGTACATGGTTGTCTCCCTGCTCTCCTTCTTTAATCGCTACAAGAACCTAGCGAGGTGCGTTGGGCTGAGAGGCAGTGACTGGCCCAAGGACACTCAAAGTGAGTTTCATGGCTCTCTCGTCTTCTTATTCTTTGGCGATTCTTCATGGCCAAGTAAGATTGTCTTCCATGAACATGGTTTTAACAGTGAGTCCATGTGACTGTGGAGGCCAATTCTGGATCCACACATCCTTCCAATTGGGACATGGGTCCCAACTGGAATTGATCACAGTGAGGGTTTGCCAAGCGTGCCTTCCTCTTCGCACGTTTCTCCCTTTCGTCCTGAGTTTGAGCGTCTTCAAAATCTATCTGAAGAAGTGTGCATGCACACGAAAGCTTATACAGTGGTACCTCTGGTTATGTACTTAATTCGTTCCAGAGGTCCGTTCTTAATCTGAAACTGTTCTTAACCTGAAGCACCACTTTAGATAATGGGGCCTCCCGCTGCTGCTGCGCCGCCGCCGTGCGATTTCTGTTCTCATCCTGAAGCAAAGTTCTTAACCTGAGGTACTATTTCTGGGTTAGCGGAGTCTGTAACCTGAAGCGTATGTAACCCGAGGTACCACTGTACCAAGAACAAACTTAGTTGGTCTCTAAGGTGCTACTGGACAATTTTAAATTTTTTTAAAATATATTTCAAAATCTATGACGCCTTTGGTGAAGGCTGTTCTCCAATTGGAGCGCTCGCAGGCCAGTGTTTCCCTGTTGTCAATGTTTATACTACTTTTTTTTTTTCAGATTAGCCTTGAGAGAGTCTTTAAACCTCTTTTGTTGACCATCAGCATTACGCTTACCATTTTAAAGTTTGGAATGGAGTAGTTGCTTTGGAAGAGGATAATCAGGCATCTCATGGCTGAGCAAGGATTTGAACCCTGGTACTTGGGGCCGAGGGATGCAGGTGGCGCTGTGGGTTAAACCACAGAGCCTAGGGCTTGCTGATCAGAAGGTTGGTGGTTCAAATCCCTGCGATGGGGTGCACTCCCGTTGCTCGGTTCCCGCTCCTGCCAACCTAGCAGTTCAAAAGCACGTCCATGCGCTGCTCTGGTTCGCCAGAAGTGGCTTAGTCATGCTGGCCACATGACCCAGAAGCTGTACGCCGGCTCCCTCACCCAATAAAGCAAGATGAGCACCGCAACCCCAGAGTCGGCCACAACTGGACCTAATGGTCAGGGGTCCCTTTACCTTTTACTTGGGGCTGAGGCAACCTTCTGGTGTTTTAAGCCACTAATGAATCCATAGCCCAGGAATTTTTCAAGAAAAGCATGTAGGAGGGCTCTTTATTGTCTGTCCCCAGCACCTGTTATACAGAGGGCTGCCATCCCTGTGCATGGGACAACAGATCTAGCCGTTGTGGCAATTACTTCCTCTGAGCTTTCGGATTTTCTGGTTTCCAGCCAGGCTCTTCCCGGCCTGCCCACAGCCCACCTGCCTCCGAGGTCCTCCTTGCATGCCAGACAAGGACATGAAACAGCATGCACACTGTACTTGCAAACGTGGGTGGAAAGAGATGCTTCTTCTTTCTCTCTCTCTCTCTCTCATAGTCCTTTGCAGGTGGACCCATAGGATTGATGTGGCAGCGCTGAAGCAAGAGGACCGCACTCTTTTGGAGAAGTGCATTGTGCGGTTTTGTTCTTGCACATGGCATGTGCCTCCCTCTTGCCTTGTGACCTCCACTTTTATAGTTCTTGGGCATCCTTTTATTGCAGTAGCTTCCTTCTGCAGAGAGACCACAGACATCATTCTGGAGAGACTATTGACAAATTGCATGCTGAGTAAGGAAGCGAGCAGGAAAGACAGGCTTAGGCTACTCCCCAGACAACATTAGCGCAACTGCCCAATATGTTTGGATGTGTACTGTTACAAAAGCTGGGTTCCGCTGCCTCCTCTCTCTGCCGAATGGTGGCAAGAGCCCAGGGGCTCCAGGCATTCACCCACGGCCTGTGTTCCTTTGGAGAATTGAGACATGGCGGAGACTGTTGTAGCTTTGAGAAATATGGTTTATTCACACCTTCAGTGTGCTGGTCCCGGGGGGAGGTTACCGTGGGGCGAGGTCCAGGACCTGAGTCGAGGGTCAGCAGACAGTCCTCCACGGGCGAAGCAGGGTCCAAAGCGAGGAGCCGGGCAAGGACAGGAACTCTGGAGGAACAGGACTGGGTGCTGGCCGAAACAGCTCTTCAACGACGTTGCTCCCGCAACCTGGGACCGGGCTGACTGGCCTTTATCTTCTCTGAGGCCAGGGGCGGTCCCGGCCCCCAGGAGACCTGCCTCTCCTGGCCTTAAGGCGAGCACTCCTCCTGGGAGAAACCAGTTTCCTCCGCCTCTCTGCCCCAAGCCTCTGCAGCTCAGGAGAGGCTGGAGGGTTACTGGACCCAGGGGGAGACTCACCTTCCCCTGACAGGGCTGGGAGAGGCGCTCCTGTAGGCACTGTGTCCTCAACCACCTCCGGAGCCCGAGTGGATTCACCTGGTGCCTGCTCCTGAGGATCCGGCACAGGTGCAGGCGCTTCAGAATCAAGGCCCTGCCCCAGGTCAGGCGGCCCTGGAGGCAGGGACTCCTGTGCAGGCTGGGATTCCTCCGGTTCAGCCTCTGAATCAGATTCCCAGGCCATCACATTCAGTCTGCATGGAGGGAGTCCAAATCTTACAGGATGGTCCTTTCAAGAGGGGCTTGTCCCTCACAGGAGTGAAGCCATGCAGTCCAAGGCATCTCTCCTAGCCAGCCTGCAGCCAACCTGCCCAAGATGGACCCCAGTCTTCCTTCTTATTCTTTTCAGAACACCTTGCTCAAAATCTCTCTTCTCCTGTCACTTCAAATACATACCCCATTCACCTTGGCAACATCCATTTTCCCAGGCCCAAGGATTCCTCTCAGATGGCCCATCAGAGAGCCAGTGTGGTGTAGTGGTTAAGAGCGGTAGACTCGTAATCTGTTGAACCGGGTTCGCTTCCCCGCTCCTCCACATGCAGCTGCTGGGTGACCTTGGGCCAGTCACACTTCTTTGAAGTCTCTCAGCCCCACTCACCTCACAGAGTGTTTGTTGTGGGGGAGGAAGGGAAAGGAGAATGTTAGCTGCTTTGAGACTCCTTTAGGTAGTGATAAAGCGAGATATCAAATCCAAACTCTTCTTCTTCTTCATCATCATCAGCAGCAGCAGCAGCACCTTTTGTCGTTTAACAGATTTGCTCTTCGCTAGGCTAGCCAGACTGGTTTACATAAAAGACGCTCTGGTTTCCGCCACATGACTAGGAAAGCTGTCTGTGGACAAACGCCCAGCTCTCTCAGCCTGAAAGCAAGATGAGCGCCACAACCCCATAGTCACCTTTGACTGGACTTAACCGTACAGGGGTTCTTTACCTTACCCTTACCTTTACTTTACCTACATAAAAGATATGTTTCGGTTGCACTGTATCTCTTTTTCCTACAGCTAATCACTAGATTTGTCACGGGATTCCCACTGTATGGTAGATGGAATCCACATTCCCCTTATTAACCTCCTTCGGCAAATAACAGAGGGAATCTCCAGCTTTTAATGGCCTGTTTCCCCTTTTCCTCTGTCCAAACAGCAAAAGCAACACCACAAAACCCAAACTCTCGTGTGAAGCTGGTGCACAACTACTTCTTTAACCCTGAGATTATGCAGGCCGCTTCTATTTCTGACCAACATTTCTTGAACAAATGTGATAATGTGCAGCCTTCCTACATTTCAGAAACCCTCCCTTCCTCTCTGGAATCAGAGGAAGACGATCCCCTGCCTATCAAGAATGCAATTTATCACCAACTGCAACAATGGGGAATAGCCTGTAGCAGGGAAATGTGCGGTTCACTAGCATTTCCCCAAAGGCTTGGGGAAGAATGCACAGAGGTAGTCACCGTGGCACCTTCCAGATTCTGGTGGACTCCAACACCCATCATTCCCAGCCAGCATGACCAATGGTTAGGGATGATTGGAGCAGTAGTGGTTGCATTGGGAGGGCCACAGATTCTGTATCTCTGCTTAGTTAAGATTCCTGCATTGCAGGGGTTGGGCTAGATGACCCTTAGAATCCCTTCCGACTCTAAAATTCGATGATTCTCACGCCATTTCACTTCCCAGAGAGGTCTGCACTGAGTCTCTTTTCCTCCCTCTCATCTGCCCACATTTCAAATGGCAATATTGTCCGTCTGTCTGTCCTGGCAGGGTATGACCCAAATACCACCAAGTGCTGGGCAGTACAAGAACCCTCAAGCGAGCCATTCTGCACAATCAAAGAGCACATTTTCGACGCTCTTGTGTTCAGGTGGGCCTACCACATGGTCAGAAATAACCCTGGCCTTGTGCCTTTAACATCACTTTCGTTCCACACCGAAGAGATAAAAGCAGCATCTGCTTAAATGCTCCTCTACCCTGGGCTGTCCGCAAATGCATCTTTCGTTTCACGGACAGGCACTCACCTCTGACATGCATAGCCACCCCTGCCTCATCCAACTTCCTCCATTCCCCGGGTCACACTCCCTTTGCCTGCACATTTCTCAACCTTTTGCATCACTCTCCTCTCTTTTGCACGCACCAACTTATGGCAAACCTCCTCTCCAAGAAAATCCCTCATTGCCACATGAAAGGTCACCCAATCACCCAGATTTGGGAAGGATGCACCGTCTGGTGGACGCATGTCCCTTTGGTGAGGACAGGACTTCCGGGAAGAAAGAAATAATCTACGCAGCGGGGGAATCTACAAGCGGGGGAAGAAAAGAGCTGCAATATTTCCTTATCGAAATAATTAAGCTCAAAAGGAAAGACAGGTAGAAGTGCGCAGGCTTGCCAAATAAATAAAACGGTGTCTCCCTGCACTTTCGTTTTCCCATTTGTCCCGCTAAAAATTTAATTGCAGATGGAAGCGGTTGTGTTTCAGACACGACCCAAACGGTGCTATAAGCCAACAGGGACCAATCCGGCCACGTGCTTCCTCACCAGTAAGCGAAAGGCAATCACACCATTGCAAAAAATCGGTCACTAGGTCCACTGGATATTTTTCGTCCATGAGAAATCTCCTCAGAAAGGGCCATTTGCCAGGCTCTTGAATACCAGTGGTCTAAATCAGAGGTATCAAAGCCTTCATCCTTTTCCAGCTGTCTTTCAGTCACTGCCTGGGCCCCACATCTGCCCATTCAGGGCCCCTCGTCCAAATGCTCCCCTGGCAGGCTTCCTGCAGCGGCATCCGGATCCTGGCTCGTGACTCAGATGCATGTCACCTCCTGCCCAGAATTCCCCTTCCCTGACTCACTGCGTGCCATGGCTAGGCCAAATGAGCAATAAGAGAAATAAGAGGCACGGCAGGTATGTGGGGCGAGGCAAAACACGCGCAGAGTAGAGGAACACTATTCAAGACACTGGAATGGCTGGTTTTTACCTCAGCTCTGAGGGGAGAGGAGGAAGGGAAGAGCACGACAAAGGGCAGTGTGTGAACATGGGAGGGCAAAAGTTTTTAAGAGAACTGAAAGTGCTTGGAGAGACACAATGCTTCTATCTTCCCACAGGGAGCGGAAACAGGGGGTTTTCGTGCCATTGTTGCCTCTGGTCAAACAGGCCAGAGGGGCAAACCCCCTCCTCTCGTTCTCTTTTCAAAACCCAGAAGAACAATTTTGACCCCAGGTAACCACAACAGGGCAAAAGAAATGTGTGCATAGCTGCTGCTAATCTGTCACCTCCCCCCCCAAAATGTTTTGCACAGCCACTAATACCCTCCAGATGTTTCAGGGGAAACGCTTCGCCTGCTGCTGGCTTGGGCCTTGTCCACACAACCTCCTTAAAATGACCGCTCGGCCGCTCCTTTTCTAAATATGGATTGAAGCTGGTGGTGCGTCAGTAAGAGGCAGAGGGAGAGATGTCAAAATGAAGCATTTCAAGCTCTAGGGGGTAGGACTCGAACCCATGGCTTCAAGGAAGGCGATTCCGACTAAACATCAGGAAGGACTTTCTGGCAGCAAGAGATGTTTGACAGTGGAACGGCTCTCCCTCAGGAGGTTGTGGACTCTCCTTCCTTGGTGGTTTCTAAGCAGAGTTTGGACGGCTGTCTGTCATGGATGCTTTAGCTGAGATTCCTGCATTGCAGGGGGTTGGACTAGATGACCCTCGGGTCCCTTCCAACTGTACAAGTCTATGATTCTATGACAGGACAGCCACAGGATAGATATGGATCGTGGAGCAACACCATTTTAAAAACCGGGATGAAAAAAGAAACAAGAAACACGAGCTGCAGATCAGGGTTTTGTTTTGTTATTTGAACCCCAAAGGGAGCACAGCAACCCCCCTCCCTTTTTCCCCTCTTTTATTACAGGAGGCGTTTGGCTGACATCCTTTCAAGAGTCAGGCCCAAGCTAATGCGAAAAAGAGGGGAAAGCCTGCAGCCAGAAGCAAGACGACGGTGGGTGGATTTTCAGGGCAGTGAGTTACAGCTTGGGTGTTACAGAAGCCAGGCATTTATTATTATTATTATTATTATTATTATTATTAATACCCCACCCATCTGGCTGGGCTTCCTCAGCCACTCTGGGCGGCTTCCAACCAAATATTAAAATACAGTGGTACCTCGGGTTACATACGCTTCAGGTTACAGACTCCGCTAACCCAGAAATAGTGCTTCAGGTTAAGAACTTTGCTTCAGGATGAGAACAGAAATCGTGCTCTGGCGGCGCGGCAGCAGCAGGAGGCCCCATTGGCTAAAGTGGTGCTTCAGGTTAAGAACAGTTTCAGGTTAAGTACAGACCTCCGGAACGAATTAAGTGCTTAACCCGAGGTACCACTGTACAGTAATGCATCAAACATTAAAAGCTTCCCTAAACAGGGCTGCCTTCCACCTAGGACCTTCTGCATTCAAAGCATGTGTCCTTCTCTCTGAAACAACCATCAGAGGCCTACGCAGGAGGGTCTATTGCACCAGCCTCAGGTTCCCAGACCCTTCCAGTCTTGCTCGGTTGTCTTGCGGGTATTTTCCCCAAGCTCTTCCATGCAATAATATGGCAAAGACACATGGGAGCTGCGTCTTGCCGTTTGCACTACTCCTTTGCCTCCAACCCACCCTGCGTCTGAATAAGCTGCATGGCATAGACTACACTCCCAGGCAAGAACAGATTCTGGCGGAAATCTCCGTCCTACGCATGGAAGTCCCACCGGGCTCAAGGGGGGGTTGCTTCCAGCATCCCGTGTGCTTAGGGCTACGGCCGCAAGGAGACTCTTGCTGCCAAGATTTTGGTTTCTATTCGAGGAGCAGCAAGAGATGCCCTTTGGCCAAAGAAGCCCTTCACACCCACTTCCTCTTACCCAGGCGTCTGGTTTGAGGCTCGCAACCCCACGCAACTGCCAAATCAGCAAAAAATAAAAATAAAAAGCAAGAAAAGGAAAATAGCTGTGGCTGGCTTCAGCTAATCAGCCGGTGGCCTTCGGCAGAAAGGCCCAGCGGCAAGGATTCTGGGAAGCCCCCCAAACTGTTCTGGGGCAAACAGAGTAGGCCATCGGCCAGCAGGCTGGGTCAGGATCTCCAAGTGGCCCAGAGAGGATAGGAAAGACTCTCCCGTCAGCATTTTTCAGGAGGGATTCAAATGCATGCTGGGAAATTTGGGCCCGCCAGGGTTAAAACACTCTGTCACCTCAGCACAACAAATCCACTTCCTGAGACTTCCTGAGGCTAGGAAAATGCAGCGAGAAGTGTGGGGTGGACAAATGAGAAACAGGAAACTGTATAAACGTCCCGCAAGCAAATCAGAGCAAATTGGGGTCAAATGTTTATTGCCTTCTTTTTTTTAAGAATGAATGCTCAATAAGACAGGATGTGGTACAATCTCCACATAAGATTTGTGCAAGCAAATCAGGTAAAGGGACCCCTGACCATTAGGTCCAGTAGTGGCCGACTCTGGGGTTGCAGCGCTCATCTCGCTTTATTGGGCTTCCGGGTCATGTGGCCAGCATGACTAAGCCGCTTCTGGCGAACCAGAGCAGCGCACGGAAACGCCGTTTCCCTTCCAGCCAGAGCGGTACCTATTTATCTACTTGCACTTTGACATGCTTTCGAACTGCTAGGTTGGCAGGAGCAGGGACTGAGCAACGGGAGCTCACCCCCTTGCGGGGATTTGAACCGCTGACCTTCTGATCAGCAAGTCCTAGGCTCTGTGGTTTAACCCATAGCGCCACCCATGTCCCATGCAAATCAGAACGAATGCTTAATAAATAGGTAGCCTGGAGGAGTCCGGTGTTCACAATATTATGCTAAATAGACCGACAAAGATGTCAAAGGGATGAGCTGTGGTCCTTTCTTGGTTCACCTTCCACGGCTCTGAGTGGCTTGCAGTACTGCCCATCATCTGTGGTGCCAAAGAACAAGGGGACCTTCCAAACATCCCCTCTCCCGAAATACTTATCCGATCTCCACATGGCCCACCCATTTCCACTGCAAGAAGTGAAGCTACAGGGAACCAGGCAGAGGGCCTTTTTGGTAGTGGCGCCCGCCCTGTGGAACGCCCTCCCATCAGATGTCAAGGAGATAAATAACTATACGACTTAGAGAAGACATCTGAAGGCAACCTTGTATAGGGAAGTTTTTAATGTTTGATGTTTATTATGCTTTTATACTCGTTGAAAGCTGCCCAGAGTGGCTGGGGCAAACCCAGTCAGATGGGCAGGATGCAAATAATAAAATTATTAATATTATTACAGTGGGTACCTCAGGTTAAGTACTTAATTCGTTCTAGAGGTCCATTCTTAACCTGAAACGGTTCTGAACCTGAAGCACCACTTTAGCTAATGGGGCCTCCCGCTGCTGCCACGCCGCCGGAGCACGATTTCTGTTCTCATCCTGAAGCAAAGTTCTTAACCCGAGGTACTATTTCTGGGTTAGCGGAGTCTGTAACCTGAAGCGTATGTAACCTGAGGTACCACTGTATTAAAAGCAGGACAAGCGCTCCTGCCTCTTTGCAGAGGAGGGCATTTCACCAAGTGCTACAGCTTCTCGCACAAGCGACACCTGCTGAGATGCGTCTGGCCACCCTATCGCTTGGCCTACCTTACAGGGGTGTTGTAAGGGTTACCGAGAGAACGAAGGTGAAGCACTCTGGACCCTCGAAACAGGTCGGCGTTGTTTTCGTGAGCGGCAAGAGACGGAGACACGCTTGCACATGCACGCACGCACACTGCCCAATTGGCATTTGGCAAGGCTTGCAGGGCCCGTTCCCACGCTCGGAGGAAAACCCCCTCCCCAGCCGAGCCATCGGGAACCAGCCACTCGCATAGAAAAGGGAACAAAAGAAGCTGGAGGCTGGGGACAAGAGGGGCTTTGAGAGAGGGGGACACCCGAGACAATGAACAAGGACGTGAGGGAAGGGGGGAAAGGGGCACGCTCACGAAGGCAAGGCTGAATGGAGGGCGAGAATAGGGGTCCCTCTCCTGCATTCACTGCCCTTCCCTCCTGCCCCCTGCTCTTCAATAACGCCAGAGAGGGACTGGCTTGCGGGGAGAACCAGGGCTCTCTCTTTGCAGCCAGCAGAACAGAGAGAAAAATAAAGGACGGGGGATTTTTGGCTCAGCCACTCAGATGCAGAAAAAGGAGAAGCAAACAAAAGCTCGATCGGAGCCTCATCAGCTAGGCCCTGAAACTGTTTTCAACACCTTGGTCCAGAGCCAGGGAAAGGCAAGGAAGGAACTATGGAGTGTGTACAGAGTATGCTTCTTCACATACAGAGATCATACAGGAACCCAGATGTCGGGAATTAGGGCTCCCAGCACTGAGAAGATTAAACTCCACTTGGAAAGGCAAAGCCGCAAAACAAAGCCGTGGATCGAGACGGAAGAAAGCTATAGATGGATTTTGAAAGCTCTGGTCCCAAGGAGGAGATTGAGAGGGGACCAATCCCAAACACCCAATGTGTATTTCCCCAGACAGCTGACCTCCTGGACAGCACAGAGCTTCTCCTGTAAAGTCCTGGGAACTGTAGTTTGCCCCGTGGAACTACCACATCCAGCATCCTCAACAAACTACAGTTCCCAGGATTTATTTTGCTTTGGACGTATGGGACGGATGTGATCACGTGACTTCATTTTGTAAAGGTAGTTTCCTGAGCAGAGGAATCAGACATGATCCGTTGTGCGACTCACCTCTCAAGGCCAGTGTGGAAGGCGTCCGGGCCTGCGGGTCGTTCAAGGAGTTGAGGGGAGCGCTATCTTGCAGCCAGATCACCCGCACTGGTTCTGGGGGGCCCTGAGCCCTGCAGCTGAGGTTGAAAGGGGCGTTGACTGTGACCTCCAGATCCTGGGGCTCTTCAGTGAAAAAAGGGAGACCTGGACACAAAAAAGGGGGGACAAGAAGGAACAGACTCAGCAAGCAGACACAGAAGGCTCCCTTGTGATGTGTAAATGTGAGGTTCTTCAAAGCGGAATCGAAGCAAACGTTAGTTCAGGTTTCCCTCAGATTGCTGTTTGTGCTGATTCAGCTTTGAAGAGTGGGTTTTCGTCCCTGATGGCGCTGTAATTTTTATTTTTTGTTATTTTACGTACAAGTTATTACCATTATCTCAAGTGGTTTTTTTTAATACATACTTATGTTTCAAAGTGTTTCAGAACGGAAATCGAACAAAATTAAATACTGTCTATAAAGCAATACAGGTACAGATCCATAAAACATCAAAATCTATTAAACAGGACTCTGCGCACTCAATATCATTCGCTCAAGATTCCATGTCTGCTAACACACCTGTGTTATTTATTTTGATTTATTAGTTTTATATACTGCTCTTCATCCAAAGATATGAAGAGGATTCACAGAGTAAAAACACAAGGTAAAAAAACGCAAGTAAATAGTTGAAACCAAAACAACGAAACAATACCCCCTTCCCACAAACGCATGTAAAAGCCTGTAGAATATTAATCAGCCAAAGGCCTGGTTGAAAAGGAATGCTTTTGTCGGGTGCCTACAGACATATAATGAAGGTGCTAGGTGAGCCTCCCTGGGGAGAGTATTCTACAGACAGGGAGCCACCCCGGAAAAGGCCCCGTTCTTGTGTTGCTGCCCTCTGGACCTCTCGTGGAGGAGGCACACAAAGAAGGGCCTCAGATGATGAGTGCATTGTCCGGGTTGGTGTATATTGAGGTATTGTGGTCCTGAGCCATTTAAGGCTTTATAGGCCACCAGCACTTTGAATTGGGCCCAGAAACTAATTGGCGGCTTGGGATATATTCAGTCTACAATCAGGCACAGCCACAGGCTCTCTCAGCAATCACAGATCCCAACAATCCACAAACTACAACACTGGCAGGCTTCCGCTGTGACGCTCAAACCCAGTCTTATCTAGGGCTCCTCCAACCGCAGTAGAAACCCCACACAGCTCACCCAAACACTCGCACAAGGTCATCATCTATGGCTAAGGAACCAAGGTCTCACCCTAGACAAAACATCTTCCATTTATATTTACAGTACTTGTTGCGTCTGCGTTCTTCAAAACTTTCACGTTGGGAAAGTTTTGAAAGAAAGAGAAGCTGGCTGCAAAGCCAGTTTGGGCTCCAGCGCCTCTTTTCTCTGTCACCACCCTCCTTCTTCGACCCTGTGATGAACACTTGTGTAAGATCCTCTCGGTGTGATCTGGTGTGCGCACATCACGCTCAGACAAACAGCGTTTACCTTCCAGCTTCAGGTAGGCTTCATCAGAGAGGACTTCAGATCCATTCACCGAAGCCGCACACTGGTAGTTCCCCATGTCCGAGAGCTGAACAGAAGGGATGCTGTCAGGGAAGAGGAGAACAGCAACACAGGGAGTTAATTTGGCTTCTCAGTGCCTTAAAATTCACTCCTGATCTGAGGAGAGAGAGCAGGGTTGTGGGATCCCTCCTTAAACAAGAGTATCTCTAGCAGTGACCAGAGGAGGAATGACCGCCGGGAGGAACTCAGAGAGAAGAAACACCGTGGTGCATCAATCGGACGCCTTCATCTGCCCCGGCTGCAACAAAACATGTCTCACTCGTATCGGTCTCTACAGCCACAGCAGGTCCCACAGTTTGACTTCACCCCCAAAGGCTCACGCCAGTCGGATGCCAACAACCTCTACTCCTGATCTAGACCACTTGCTCAGGCGAATACTACCAGGCTAGGCTTCAGGCCTGTTCATGAGAACATGAGCAGAGCCCTGCTGGGTAGGATCACAGGAAGTTGCCTTATACCGAGTCAAACCAACTCTTCCAACTCTATAATTCTATGGTCTCTTCCAACTCTATGATTCTATGATTCTATGAAACCATTGGTCCATTTGGCTTGGCCTTGTCTGCATGGACTGGGAGTGGCTCTCCAGGGTTTCAACCCAACCTGGAGACATCAGGATTGATCCCGGGACCATCTGCATGCAAAACATGTTCTGCCACTGAGCCATGGGCCTTCCCCTCAGGATCAGTCTGAAAGTTCATCTAGACTAAGGTTACCAGACGTCCCCGTTTCCCGGGGACAGTCCCCGGATTCACAAATCTGTCCCCGGAGTGTCCCCGGATTTTTATTTTAAGTGTTGTAGATTTATTAGTAGGGAATAAATGTTGCGTGATTGGTTCAACAGCACAAGACACATCATATGGGGACTTCTGGCGAGGCAAAATGGCGGGCAGCGAGTAGCTCCTGAAGCCATCCAGAGCCAACTGCGCTATCAGGCTGGCTCCCGGCTGCTGAGACTGCCACTGCCACTACCAAGGGGGAACTGGGGATGCCCAGCGTGTCAACTGGGGGAACCACTGACACCCCACCCCCACCCCCGCAACCCAAATTGAGCCAGGAGCGAGAGCGCCTGGCCACCCGGCCAACTGCCCAATGGCGCTCCTGGGCCAGGAAAACCCCAGAGCTGACACAGAGAGAAGGAGGAGAGGAGAAGGAGAAGGAAGAGAGAGAAAGAGGAAGAAGAAAAAAAGAGGGGAGCTTCAACCTTGCCACGCCGCTGAAAAGGAGAAGTAGGAGAGCACCAGGAGGGCAAGGACACGTGGCCAAGCCCAGCCCTGACCCGAGCCTACTCCATGGCGGCTAGCTCTCCAAAAGGGCAGGCCAGGGTCCAGAGGAAGGCCGCGCGACAGAGGAGACCACAGAAGAGAATATATTACTTCTTCATTATTATTTTTTAAAATACCGTATTTTTTGCTCTATAAGACTCACCTTTTCCCTCCTAAAAAGTAAGGGGAAATGTGTGTGCGTCTTATAATAATAATAATTTTTTATTTATACCCCGCCCTCCCCAGCCAAGGCCGGGCTCAGAGCGAATGCAGGCTGCGCAGCTATCCTAGAAGCCAGAACAGCAAGAGGGATCACTGCTTTCGCTGCGCAGCGATCCCTCTTGCTGTTCTGGCTTCTGGGATTCAGAATATTTTTTTCTTGTTTTCCTCCTCCAAAACCTAGGTGCGTCTTATGGTCTGGTGCGTCTTATAGAGCGAAAAATACGGTAACCTTTTCTTTAATAACTTTTCTCTTTCTCTATTTTTTTTAAAGTGTCCTTTTCTTTGAAAAAAGTCTGGTAACCTTAATCTAGACCACTCACTCCTGAGCCACCCCTTCTCTTCCAGGGTGCCTCACTCCAGGAGGCTAAGCACAGGGGGTGTGTCCAAAAAAACCCATTTCCATTAAACATCAGGATACAAAACACACTATGAGTAATACCATTAAAATCCACGGATATAAACTTGGGTCCCATATGCACCGAAAACCTCTGACAACGTTTGAGATATTTGTTAAGAGAATTGGGGCATACAGAACCAACATTTTCAACTCGACTTGAATGCCATGGCAGACCTTTCAAATGTCCCCATTTTCCAGGGTTTACAAAAGCCGCCTCGGTTTCCGATTTGATTTCAGAATGCCCTGCTTTCCCTTAGGACGTCCCTATTTCCATTAGAGAAATGTTGGGGGGGGGTATGCTGTGGCAAATTGTACAGGGGCCCAATATTTCTGATTTTAAATATTGGGGCCCCTACCCCTCCGGGTTATGGTTTATCGCTGGTTAGGGATTGTTTGTGTTTTGGGTTGTTCGTGTCACTGCAGAAAGGCCGACAACCTCTCTGTTTGTTTATGGGTCATGATTCTTCCCTCTTCCATCCTCAGACTCCTGAATCCAGAAGACCAGCTGCCAGTTTCCTCCTGGACATCGCGAGCAGCAGCAGCAGACAAAACAAAGCATCTTACTCTTGTGCTAGTTGTGTGTGTGTGTGTTTATTCTACAGAGTTCTTTAAACCCTTCTGTTTGTTCCAGCTGAGCATTGTGTCTTTTGCTGTTTATCAAACTCGAGATGAATGTATAAGCTTTTTAGGAAAGGAAAGAAACAAGTTTAAAGAGCCCACGCAGCTAACGAAACAAAGGCAGAGTAAAAAATATATAAAAACCGTGGGAACTGTTGGAGATTCCAGACTGTTGCTATTTTGCGGGTGGAATTCAATCGCGTATGGGCAAATTCAATTTGCACAATAACAGCGAATTTGGCGCTGTTGCACAACAGGCCTGCTTCCCCCAAGAGAAAAAATAGGGACTTTATTCAGTATAATCCAGTAATGGATTATCATTACCATTTTGTGAGATGGAGCATGGGGTTGGGGAGTGGACCACCAGAAAGGGAACCATTATTACTATGACTATTTATTACATTGATATACCCCCTTTATCTTCCAAGGATCTCCAGGTGATGCAGGTGGTTCTCCCCCCCCCCATTTCACCCTCACAACAACCCTGTGAGGTAGGTTAGGCTAAGATGGGGGTCAGCAAACCTTTTCAGCAGGGGGCCAGTCCACTGTCCCTCAGACCTTGTGGGGGGCCAGACTATATTTTTTTGGGGGGGGGGGGAATGAACGAATTCCTATGCCCCACAAATAACCCATAGGTGCATTTTAAATAAAAGGACACATTCTACTCATGTAAAAATACCAGGCAGGCCCCACAAATAACCCAGAGATGCATTTTAAATAAAAGGACACATTCTACTCATGTAAAAACAAGCTGATTCCCGGACCCTCCATGGGCCGGATTTAGAAGGCGACTGGGCCAGATCCGGCCCCCGGGCCTTAGTTTGCCTACCCATGGGCTAAGAGATGGTGACTGACTCCAAGGTCAGTCTCATGCTCTACTGACTGAGCTATCCTTCATGTGCTTAGAAGACACGGGTGCAAGCTGTTTCCCCCGGTTGTGCTCCTTTCCCAGGGAAAACCCACTCTTTAGTGCTAAATTGGAGCAAATGCTAATCCGGCGAAAACTGGAATTGTGGGCTAAAGAGCCCTTTCTATTGGGGGGGGACGGGGGGCGGAGCAGAGAAGCAGCAGGAGGGTGGATGAGCCCTTAGCCTGCCTCTTGGATAATCCAGGACTTCAGACATCCAGTTTGGGCGGCGGTCCTGTAAGCTGCCCCTGCTCCTTTCATCCCCATTCAGTTCCTACTTTGCCTGGCCTGCCAGAGGAAAGGGCAATGAAAGAAGCAGAGAAGAAAAGCGTCATGCGAGGGCAGGAGAGGAAAGCTGCCAGCCCCACTCCTCCTCACCAAGTTATGCTGCTTCGGGGTTGAGCAACTGGAAATATTTCCCAATGTGTCTCTCTCTCTCACACACACACACACACACACCCTCAGAGAAAGCCAGCCAGCTCCCCATCTCTCCACAAGGAAGATGGCTCAGCTGTTCACGTGGAGGAAAGCAGGGATGGTGGTTTAAGTCAAACAGGCAACACCCATTACCATTTCAACTTTCCCCCGCTCTCCTGTGGCACGGTTTCCTCCTGTTGCACAACTGACTGACTGGCTGTAGAGCGCAGTTTTGGTTGCCTCGCGTCAAAAAGGATATCGGAATACGGTCAGAAAAGGGCTAGCCAAACGGTCAAGGCAACTTCCACGTGGGGAAAGGTTGCAGCATTTGGGACATTTTAGAGAAAAGGCGAGGGAGAGGCAACAGGATGAAAGTTCATGCAATTATGCCTGGCATCCACGACAGGTGGCCATTCAACCTCTGCTTAAAAACCTCCTGAGAGACTCTGTCCCACTGCCAAACCGCTCTTACTGTCAGAAAGTTTTTCCTGATGTTTAGTCGGCTTGTAACTTGAATCCATTGGTTCGAGTCCTACCCTCCGGAGCAGGAGGGTACAGTCATACCTCGGGTTGAAGTAACTTCGGGATAAGTATTTTCGGGTTACTTCCGGGTTTCGCCGCTCGCTCATGTGCAGACGGTCAAAATGACGTCACGCGCATGCGCAGAAGCGGCGAATCGTGACCCAGAGACGCAGGTTGCGTTCACTTCTGGATGCGAACGGGGCTCCGGAACAGATCCCGTTCGCACCCAGAGGTACCACTGTTGTTCCATCTTCCCCGTGACAGCCTCTTAGTTTAGACATTTGAAGATAGCTCTCATATCTCTTCTCAGTCTCCTCTTCTCCAGGCTAAACACACCCTACTCCCTCGACCGTTCCTCATAAGGCTTGGTTTCCAGACCCTTGGCCATCTTGGTCACCCTCCTCTGCCCACCTTCCAGCTTGTCAGCATCCTTCTTAAACTGTGGTGCCCAGAACTGGACACAGGACTCCAGGCGTGGCCTGACCAAGGCAGAACAGAGTGGGACTATGACTTCCCTTGATCGCTAGACTTCTGTTGATGCAGCCTAGAACAGCATTGGCTTCTTTGTTTTGCTGCTGCTGCATCACACTATTGACTCAATGTGTCAACAGCTTCTCAATGTGTATTGTATTGTTTTATGTACTGTGGCTTGCCGTTGTTTTATTGATTATAGTTTGGATATTATTTACAGTGGTACCTTGGGTTACATACGCTTCAGGTTACAGACTCCGCTAACCCGGAAATATTACCTCAGGTTAAGAACTTTGCTTCAGGATGAGAACAGAAATCATGCAGCGGCAGCGGGAGGCCCCATTAGCTAGAGTGGTGCTTCAGGTTAAGAACAGTTTCAGGTTAAGAACAGACCTCCAGAACGAATTAAGTTCTTAACCAGAGGTACCACTGTATTGTAACTGTTGAGTGGATTTCTGTTTAACTTTTATATGTTGGTATTATCATTTTATACTATTATAATGATTGTTGAATGTTACTTTTTTGGTGTAGGTTGCCTATTTCAAAGTTATGTTTTATTATTACATTTTTGTATTGCATTAGATTGTTATAAGATGTACATTTTTTGTTTCTTCAGCTTGTAAACCGCCTTGAGTACTGTAAGACAGAAAGACTGTATACAAATTAAAAATGATGATGATGATGATGACTCGTACTAAGCTTGCTGTCCGCTAACACCGCTAGATCTTCCCAACGCTGAGCCTGCCAGCCCACCTACTGTGGGATGCAAGGTGCTCACCTCAATTCGCTGGTGGTCATCCATTCTTCATCATCCAAGGGAAACTGCATCTGGTTACTGTCCGCCAAGTCCAAGGCGGCTCCGTCCCTCAGCCAACTGATCTCAGGCGGCTCGCCAAGGGAAAGGGCGGAGCAGGAAAGCTTGATGTCCTTGCCCAAGGAAGATGTCAGGTTCGAAGGGCTCTCTTGGAAGAACACGGCTGGAGGAGAGAAAGAGATTGCGTTGGAGCACCTGAATAGCATCGTGCAGAAGGAAAATGAGACATAGGGATGGGTCTAGGATAGAAACAGCGATGGTCTAGCCAGTCTAGCCAATAGGAGTCTACCTTTGTTGTGCAGTTTCTGCTGCACACTGAATAAGTGCCTCTTTAATATGTAGAGTCATCTCGGGTTACAGACGCTTCAGGTTGTGTTTTTTCAGGTTACGGATGCACCGAAACCTGGAAGTACCAGAACCAGAACAGGTTACTTCCAGGTTTAGGCGGTCGCGCATGCGCAGAAGCGCTAAAATCGCGCTTTGTACATACGCAGAAACACGAATCGCAATCCGCGCGTGCGCAGATGCGCCGCTGCAGGTTGCGAACATGCATCCCGCACGAATCACGTCCGTAACTGTACCTGACACCTGAGATGTACAGTGGTACCTCAGGTTACATACGCTTCAGGTTTCATATGCTTCAGGTTACAGACTCCGCTAACCCAGAAATAGTGCTTCGGGTTAAGAACTTTGCTTCAGGATGAGAACAGAAATCGGGCTCTGGCCGCGTGGCAGCAGCAGGAGGCCCCATTAGCTAAAGTGGTGCTTCAGGTTAAGAACAGTTTCAGGTTAAGTACGGACCTCCGGAACGAATTAAGTACTTAACCTGAGGTACCACTGTATATATTTTACGACCCACCCTACAGCATTGTTTCGACCCGATTTTCATAGCTATTTATCTACCACCTGCCGGCCTTTCGCATTGATAGCCCACCTTTCCCATAAGGCAGGCATGGCCAAACTTGGCCCTCCAGCTGTTTTGGGACTACAATCCCCATCATCCCTGACCATTGGTTCCTGTTAGCTAGGGATGATGGGAGTTGTAGTCCCAAAACAGCTGGAGGGCCAAGTTTGGCCATGCCTGCCCTAAGGAGATTGAAGTGGCATTCATGGCGCCCCAAAGCTTTATTGCACCCCATTTCATCCTCACAACAAGCCTGCGAGGTAGGCTAAGCTGAGAGGCTATGGCTGGCCCAAGGCCACCCAATAAGTTCCATGGCCAAGTAGGGATTTGAACCCTGGTCTCCCAGGTCTGAGTCCAATACTCTAACCACTATGTGACACTGGCTCCTCTGAATGTTTTCAAATTGCCCCCAGACCATGTGGTGAAGGGCAAGTAAGAAATTAAAATAAGAATAATATTGGATACAGAGTGGTGCTGATATAACACCATGGTTGCAGGTTTGAACCCCATATGGAACAGCTGCCTTACAGGGCGTGGGCTAGATGATCCATAGGGTCCCTTCCAACTCTTCAATTCTATGACTCTGTGATGATGATGATGATGATGATGATGATTGTCCCCTTTTCCAATTCCCAGGTATTAGCCCATATCCAGAACCTCTATTCACTGAAACCAGGTTTTAAACTCGTTTAACCTTGCCGTTGTCTGCCCACCTGTCCTGGGGGCGTCTGCAATTTTATATAAATAAAATTGAGTCCTGCTACAAGGGAAGGGCGTTCGGGCTGCAGTAGGCCTGAGAATGAACAACTTCCGACTTGGAAAGCATGGCTCTCATCGTCACATTCCAGGAGTCTGGTTGCGTGAAGGGAAAAATGCACTGCGCATGCTCAGAGACCCACAAGATGCCTCACTCTCTTATTACAATACAGTGGTACCTTGGGTTACATACGCTTCAGGTTACATACGCTTCAGGTTGCAGACTCTGCTAATCCAGAAATAGTGCTTCAGGTTAAGAACTTTGCTTCAGGATAAGAACAGAAATCGTGCTCCGGCGGCGCGGCGGCAGAAGGAGGCTCCAATAGCTAAAGTGGTGCTTCAGGTTAAGAACAGTTTCAGGTTACGAACGGACCTCTGGAACGAATTAAGTACTTAACCCGAGGTACCACTATATATTCCAATGGCTGTGCTTTGGCATCGCAGAACGGTTCAGTGGGGTCCGAGCTCTGGGTCAAATTAGGCTATGAATATTATTTAAAGGGATGGCCACTGACCAGGAAAAAAAATGAGAACTCAAGCCAGCTCTACTGCCAGTAGCAAGAGTCTGGGTTGCAGGAATCAACAAGAAAGGTTGTTAAGCCTGGAGACAAAGATTGATTGATTGATTGATTGATTAACTAACACACATACATATCTCGCTTAATATTTTAAAACTCTTATCCATTTGCCACCTGCTATCGTCTGTAGCAGATCATCTGACTGCTTCAGGGAGCAGGAGCAGCTAGTTTTAAAAGTTGGCAACTCTTTAGCATCACTTTCCTCCTTTTTTCCTTTTTGCAAATCTTGTCTTCTGTAATGTGCCAATTTGGGGCAGCGGGAGGGAATGGTGACGTTCAGATCTGGCTGGCCCGGCCGGCTGCGGACAATGACTCTCCTCGCCTCTCCGTCACCAGCTGCCAAGGGATAGCAGCTGCACCAGCCCCACCCGCTTAATGACGGTTCTTATAATTCCCCGGTCCATCGAAAAATACCCACCCAAGCCCTAGTGTGGGCCAGGGTAGAGCAGCAAACACTCTGCAAGCTTAGAGGCCTGGAGGGTGGGGGTGGGGGTTCTTCTGGTCTCAGTAGCAGTCTGCTAAAACCCCTTATTAGCTTTTTACAGTAAAGCTTCACCGGTTGGACTTCTGCCATAGCGGCAGAAATTCAACAGGTGAAGCTTCTCTTCCCAAATCTCCAGTCAATTCAACAGAACAGATTTAAACTCCCTGATTACTTTCAAATCTCCTGGATATACTAAGGCAGCTGCATGGAAAAAAAGGAAAGGGCGGGGGAAGATACCGCTCCTACACCTTTAATATTTGTGTAGGCGATTTCAGCAGGTGTGCTATAACTTGCCTGACAAGCTACACCTGTTGAAATCCCCTCCATAAATATTAAAGTTGTAGAAAACCTACCCTTCCCTTGCCTAGGACCACCCCAGTTATCTGTTTGTTGCGGTTATATTTTTTTTAGGCCTTTATTATCCCCCCAAACCCATAAAGTAAATCAGATAAGTTTCTTGTTGGCAGAAATACATGGGTTTTTTTTTAAATTAAAACATTTCTACCCCACCCTTCTAGCGCAAAAAAACCCGCCCAGTGCAGCGTGCAGCATTTCAAATGGCGATTTCAGAAACACAGCGACAATAAAGCACATTGGCTAAGGGTCAGCGGTTGAAACCAAGCACACAAAAAACATCAAAAGTTTGCCGGAATAAAACGGATTCACTCTGCCCACAGTTTGATTAAACTGGCGCGGGGAGAGCTAAACCACCCACATGCAGCCGAACTGAACCAATACTGTACTATGCACCGAGAGGAATGCTGCAAATAAACAGATTTATGGGGCAGCAATCCTGTCGATGCCAGGAAAAACTCTTTTATTTTTCTCTATCGTGAAGCAACAACCAACACTGTGGGAGCCTTGAATGGCGGGGGGCGGGATTCCCTCATCCAATTCCAGTTTCACCGCCTCCTTTTCCCTCACCGTCTGGGAAGTGAAAGGAGGGGAAATCACTCTGCCCGCCATTTCAACAACAGTTTAAGGGGTTGCAATCTCCGGGTCAAGAGCCCTTTGGAGTTTCTGGGCAGCAAGGATGCCATCTTTAATCTCTTGTTTCTAGTCCATTTCTCCCCCCATTCCTCTGAGGATAAAAGGACCCCTGACCATTAGGTCCAGTCGTGGCCGACTCTGGGGTTGCGGCGCTCATCTCGCTTTACTGGCCCTGGGAGCCGGCGTACAGCTTCCAGGTCATGTGGCCAGCATGACTAAGCCGCTTCTGGCGAACCAGAGCAGTGCACAGAAACGCGTTTACCTTCCCGCCGGAGCGGTACCTATTTATCTACTTGCACTTTGACGTGCTTTCGAACTGCTAGGTTGGCAGGAGCAGAGACCGACGAACGGGAGCTCACCCCGTCGCGGGGATTCGAACCGCCGACCTTCTGATCGGCAAGTCCTAGACTCTGTGGTTTAACCCACAGCGCCACCCACATCCCCCTCTGAGGATACCGGCATATATGTATCCTCTGAGTCCCAAAACCAGGATGCACGTTTTCCCAAACATGCTCCCCATGTGAGATCACGGAACCCCCAAAAAACATGCTTCCACGGTGCCCCAAAATGAAATCGTGTGAGATCACAGCACCGCAAATGGTTGTTGTGCTCTTGCAGGACAAACCGGGATGTTCTGGGTTTTTTTTCTGGGACACGTGCGGGGTAGGAATACATGGGGCCATCCCAACCCAATTTTTCAATGTCAGGTTAGGCAAAGAGGGATTTGCTTCGGTGAGGCCTAAACCGGTTGTTGCCATGGCAAAAACAGGTTTTCCCCTGTTAACGGAGAAATCTGAGGGCTCCCTTGGCCAAAAAACAAGGACACCAGCCAGGAATACCAGAGCAAAACAGCAGCCAGTAGGCTTGGTCTTTGTTGAAGACTGTCGCGACAGGACTCCCACCTGCCACAAGGTGGAACAAGATGGAAGCCCCAAACAAAAGAGAACCCAAACTTTTATTAGCTGCTAATCCCCATGTTACACGCCCCCCCCAACTACATCACTCATACATGATGGTTACATCATGAAAGGGGAGGTCTAGTGGCAGTAATCTGAGCATCCTGGACCCTGCCCCATGGTTCCCCTTGCCCTCCACCAAACACCCATCAAGTGAAGCAAAAGAGATATTTACATTTCCCTGTTTCCCAGCCAAGTTAATCACACCCTTTTGTCTTCATCTGGGTTTGTTATTTCTGGAATGGGTACCTGTCTGGCACTCAGGTATCAGGATGCCAGGAATTATCACTCAGGCAGAGGGGCTGCTGAGTAGCTGAACTCACATGTCTATATGAGTTTCCGCTCTCCCTTCCCCACAGGTGGGTGGGGTTTCCAGCACCTAAGGGCTCACCTGGGCAGGTGTCTCCCACCTGCTTGGGCCAGCCTTTGACCCACCCTTGGCCAGGGAGGACAATGGCCGGCCGGCCAGGGGTGGGGCTAAGGCCAAAGAAAAGAGGCTGACCCCTTTGTCCAAGACTCTTTTGGTTTTCTTCCTTCCGGGATTTTCCTGTGAAGTTTTCCCAGCGAGCCAGTACATAGATACATTTATCAGTGAATTCTTACATTTGGTATTGTGCAGCAGAGACCCTTTGAATAGATAGGAAGAAACTGTGATGTAGTGTTTTGTGGGGACAAATCACAAAAGTCACAAAAGCGATTGTGCTGATTTTGGTAGTGGGCTGCATGGGCATGATATCTGCTGGAGGGGCAACCCCCCAAAAAACCTATACATAAATTCCTGCAACACCTGCAAGCCTGTTTTGCTGGTGGATGCCAAACTGGGATGAAGAATGGTCAGTGGAGAAGAGGGGAGGGGGGGTCTGATTCACCCTTCCTCCAGCCATGTAACACCCCCCCCCCAAAAAAAAGCAGCATCACACACCCCAATTCCAGGGATGAAGACAAGAGTATCAGACATAAACTCTGGTAAATGTGAGACAGCACAATAGAGCAGGGATCCCCAAATGTCGTCCACAGACCAATATAAACTTCATAGATAAAACAAGTGCTTTTTCCCCTAAAAAAATGTTTAGGGGTACTCTCATTTTCCTACTCATATTGAAATACTGCCCCCTCAGTGATGTCAAACTTAGATTCACAAAATGTTTAGGGGTATGCATACCGCTGTGTCCCCCCAGAAAAAAAGCACTGGATAAAATGTTCCTCCATAAACCGATTTGGTCAAACTTCCACGCTAACCAAGCGAGAACATATTCTAATTTCAGAAGGGCCAATCTCCCTCGGCTGCAAAGCAAGGGTGTAGAATCTCTGTGGCGCTTCGAGGTCAAAGAGCGAGAGCGGCACATGGGACATAAAATATACGCCACTAGATGATGCATAATGTGTGCGGAACAGAGGAGGTGGAGCAGCCGGCGCATAAATCCAGTCTGAGAATATCCTGCCCTGCAGCCGCCGTTAACCCTTGAGGAATGAGGGACACATTCCAGGGCCTGAGAAACAAAAGTTGCGTACTTGGAAGAAGCCCAGGCCTCACTCTTGAGCCTCACGCTGCTTTCTCTAGGAAGGATGGGGAAGGGAGGGGAGGGGGAATCTTCTTCTATGCCAAGAGACCCAAATTGGCTCCTGGTCCAACAGAGAAGCATGCAGTGAAATTCTGGCTACGCCCATGTCCCTCATCCTGGTCGTGTTTTCTTTTTTTCAAGATTGATTGTAAGCATGTTGGGACAGGGACCTGTCTTTTCGGATTATTCTCAAAAGTGCCAACTATATCAGTGGCACTATACTGGGGTTGGCATCTGACAGCCCTTACTGGAGGCATTTGGACGAAGCATATCATCATCATCAACATTAGTGCTTTTTTTCTAAAAAAAAGTTTAGGGGTAATCTCATTTTCCTACTCTTATTGAAATACTGCCCCCTCAATGAGGCCAAACTTAGATTCACAAAATGTTTAGGCCAGGGAATGCGTACCACTGCGTCCCCCGAGAAAAAAAGCACTGATTATTAATGTTGATATTATTATTATTGTTAATGTTAATCTTATTATTTAATTCATGAATTGTCTTTCCGATGAGTCTCATGCGCATACAATAGGAGTGACTGAAAACGGTTTCAAAAGTGTGCGAGAAAGAAAATACAGTGGTACCTTGGGTTAAGAACTTCATTCATTCTGGAGGTCCGTTCTTAACCTGAAACTGTTCTTAACCTGAGGTACCACTTTAGCTAATGGGGCCTCCTGCTGCTGCCACATGATTTCTGTTCTCATCCTGAAGCAAAGTTCTTAACCTGAAGCACTATTTCTGGGTTAGCAGAGTCTGTAACCTGAGGCGTATGTAACCTGAGGTACCACTGTATAGGTTTTTTAATAATACAAAATAAACAGCTTAGGCAGAGACCTTTTCATTTAGCTGGAAAAGCTTGTCCAAACAGGAACGGCTGCAATTGTTTCCGGAAAGTGGAAATTGTGGGCGCCTGCCGCATTTCAACAGGGAAGCTGTTCCACAGAACTAAAAGGCCCTGCTCCGACTTGCCGGAGCAGGGAAGAGAGCTCTAGTGGAGCCACACAAGGGTGGACTGCATGGACCTTTCAACTCTATGACCTCACTGAGCAAATGATGTAAACAAGCCCGCCTCTCCCAGCCCCAGGGAGAAAAAGTTGGCACAGGACGCCTGGGCTGGAGACCATTCGCCTCCCTTTTGAGCCAAGTACTGCAGCGAGAACTGAAACCTCTGTTGTGGTTGTGGAGAGGCGGGCTCGCTCTATCACTGCTCCCTCCGGCACCAGCAGCAGCCCCTGTCCCGCCCCCCAAAATCCAGTTCCAAGCCCCAAAGATTGCCCCAGTGGTACCCACTGGAGGTTTTGGACTACAACTCCCATCAGGCAGCGCTAACAGTCATAGCTAGGCTTGCCAGGTCAAGAACAGCCCAGATTTCAAGCCCCAAACCTGAGACCTAGGAGTGGGGCCCTGATGGTGTCACAGGGCAGCCCCTGGAGATGGAAGTTAATTGGGAAAGTGGAGCAGAGGAAGGCAGATCCTCCCAGTTGGCTCAAATCTTTCCCGCCCCCACTGGCCTCTATCATGGATAGGGTTGCCAAAGTCCCTTTGCAGGCCTGGCTCCTGCGCCTTCAACAACAGCTCGGTCTACAGGCTGCTAGTTTTGTCCAGGTGAGTTGGCAACCCTAAACCCAGCCTCAGTAAGGCAACAGAGCAAATGAGGCTCACATATATTTCAATGAACAGGCAGCCAAATAGTTAAAGGACAGTGGTTTATCCAGAAAAAGGTGGCAGCCTAAGGAGGGAGATAAAACCTCTTTCCCAGGGCCTACTGGTAATCCTTCTCAGTCCTTGAACATATAAGGCCACAGTAAACAGCAGAGTGTCTCTGGGCATGTGCAGAGGAACCACTGCTTTGTTCTCAGCAGCCCGTATTAGCCTCCGTGGATGCATCTGGGATTAGTAGGCTCAGATATGTGGCTTTCTTCCCCTCTTGTTTGAGGGCAGCACCGTGTAACTCCTCCCAAACCAGACCACAGGTTAGGCCTGTTAAATTGCAGGCATGCAACTGGCCCTGCCACATCACTCCAAAAGGACACCTAGCCCTGCATTTCTGCCAGAATGTTGCTCCTGGCAACTTGGTAGGCAGAACATGAAAGTCTCGGCCTCCCCTTGCCGCTGGCTCCCAGCTTGTGCTGTTCAGAGAGAGCCTGCTTGCAATCATGGAGGTTCCACTGAGATCTCATGGCTAATTGCTGTTGGTATTCCTCCTTGAACATCTAATTGTGGTTGGGGGTTTTTTAAAGCCGTCTAAGCTAGATGGGACGCGGGTGGCGCAGTGGTCTAAACCACAGAGCCTAGGGCCTGCCGATCAGAAGGTCGGCGGTTCAAATCCTCGCGACGGGGTGAGCTCCCGTTGCTCGGTCCCTGCTCCTGCCAACCTAGCAGTTCAAAAGCACGTCAAAGTGCAAGTAGATACAGTGGTGCCCCGCAAGACGAATGCCTCGCAAGACGAAAAACCCGCTAGACGAAAGGGTTTTCCGTTTTTCGATGCGCTTCGCAAGACGAATTTCCCTATGGGCTTGCTTCGCTAGACGAAAAAGTCTTGCGAGTCTTGCAATTTTTTTCGCTCCCCCCCCTTTTTCTAAGCCACTAAGCCGCTAATAGCCGCTAAGCCGCTAAGCCTTTAATAGCCGCTAAACCACTAATAGCGCTAAGCCGCTAAGCCGCTAATAGGGTTGCTTCGCAAGACGAGAAAACCGCTAGACGAAGAGACTCGCGGAACGGATTATTTTCGTCTTGCGAGGCACCACTGTAAATAGGTACCGCTCCAGTGGGAAGGTGAACGGCGTTTCCGTGCGCTGCTCTAGTTCGCCAGAAAGCGGCTTAGTCATGCTGGCCACATGATCCAGAAGCTGTACACCAGCTCCCTTGGCCAATAAAGCGAGATGAGCGCCGTAACCCCAGAGTCGGCCACGACTGGACCTAACGGTCAGGGGTCCCTTTACGTTTAAGCTAGTACAAATGCAGCTATTGCAGGCTACGTATGATACAGCCAGTTGTCTTCCCTTCCCCTGCACATTAAGCTTCCAGTCTACAAGATTTCATTCCACCAAAGGAATGTGCATAAGGGGAGTGGCTGGGGTAAACTCAGGTGTCCTCCCGCGTAGGAGGAAAGAGGCAGGCCTTCGCAATCACTGCCCCACTTGACTGGGTTGCAGCAAATCCGGCACACAATTGTTTCCGATTTCCAGAGCATTTTGGCGCCTCCTCAAAATCTATTTCTGAAACGCTCCGGCTTACGGAGAGACTGACGCTCCTCTATGATGCCGACACATTCCTCATCCCCAAAGGAGCTAGTTTTTAAGCTTAACGTTCGCAAGCTGGCTGACAGATGTGAAGACGGATCTAGATTCGATTGCAGCTGCATGCTTGTCATGATCAGCCTTACCCAACCTGCTTGCCCCCTGTAATGGTTCTAGGGGTTGCTCGTGCGTAAGCCGGTGCAAACACCTGGCTGGGTTGCCTAAGTGAACCTTTTCTGTCCGGACAGCCACTCACCCGTGGCTGCAGAATCCGTCAGTGGGCGTTTCTTAAACTTCTTCCAGCAAAGAAGCTCTTTGACGCCTAGTCTCCTCCTACTCTCTCTGCACGAAAGCCTTCTGCGCAAGGAGGGCGTAGGCAGCGGAGGACCCCTACTCTCCCTGCTGGTCCCCGGCAAGGAGTCATGGGACCGCCTCGTCGCTTCCCCATCTGCCCCCCTTCTCCACTGGTGCTACGCTGATTCTCTTCCCCAGAAGATGGGCTGCCTCTCCCAATCCCGGGACGCTCTCTGGAATCCCTCTGGATTTTGCTCTCTCCCTCCGGCACTGATGGCAGTTCCCTGACACCCCCCTTCAATTGCTGGTATAATAATAATAATAATAATTTATTATTTATACCCCGCCCATCTGGCTGGGTCCCCCCAGCCACTCTGGGCGGCTTCCAACAAAACACTAAAATACAATAACCTTTTAAACATTAAAAGCTTCCCTAAACAGGCCTGCTTTTAAATGTCTTCTAAAAGTCAGATAGTTGTTTATTCCTTTGACATCTGGTGGGAGGGCGTTCCACAGGGTGGGCGCCACTACCGAGAAGGCCCTCTGCCTGGTTCCCTGTAACTTTGCTTCTCACAGTGAGGGAACCGCCAGAAGGCCCTCAGTGCTAGACCTCAGTATCCGGGCAGAATGATGGAGGTGGAGACGCTCCTTCAGGTATACTGGACCGAGGCCGTTTAGGGCTTTAAATGTCAGCACCAACACTTTGAATTTGGTAGACTGCTACTCCTGCGGACAATGGTCAGGGGTTTGTAATCCAGAACACCGAGAGGGCAAGAAGTTCAGGAAGGCTTGCCCCCAGTATTTCCGGGAACTTTTATAGTTTCAAATCCGTCCCCTCCACAAACCTGGGTAAGGAAGACTGGGGCCATATTCACCCCATACTTATTCATCCCAGACAACTTGTAGCTCTGGGAGGGGAATAGCGGTTTCCTGAAGAACTCTCAGCACCCTTCGCAAGCTACAGCTCCCAGAATTCTTTGGGGGAAACCAAGACTATCATCAAATGATTCAGAATCTGTGGCATCAGCCAAGCTGCTGAAGTACTGTGGTGAACCGTAGTGTACAGAGCTATGAGCTGCAGACACAGGGACATTTTCACTCTACCCTTTGTGCTTACATCATCATCATCATCATTTTTTACTTGTATGCCGCCTTTCCACAGTTAAGAAAACAATGCTCAAGGAGGCTTACAGCATAACAAGATTTACAAAATTACAAAAGTCATAAACAATAAACAAACCACCTCAAAAAAATACACAACCAAATGGGAAACAATTTCGACATAAATCAAAATCTAAAGCTAAGAATACAGCATTAATATCACAGTTTAAAATGACATAGGTAAGAAATAACAGCAACACACAGGGTGACCTGAGGCCAGGGCTTTTTTTCAACCAGAGCTCACAAGAACTCAGTTCCTGCCTTATAAGAGAACAAGGGAGGTGTGTTCATTGTGAGTTCCAGCAACCTCTTTTTCTAGAACAATAGTGCAGCCTGCTATATTGTTTGAAAGAACTTCAATATGATGGGAGATTAACCTGCCGAGATTTATATACCACCCACAGAGCGGCGCTTTCTGAGACAGCGGTAGAGGGAAACAGGCGAAATGCTGGCCGTTAATTGTACAGGTGGCTCCTTGGTCCAAAGTCGGGAAGGGTACGTTTCAGTTAATCACAACCCCCTGTCACTTCTGGGGGAGGCCAGCCAACAGTTTCATCTTGCTATACCCTTTGGCTAAACACAATGAAAGTGACTTGGCTCCTCATTCTCCTGGAACCTGATATGTTCTGCCAAATGCACCCATTTCCCAGCAAATATTTCAGGTGATCCAGTTTTGCACCCTCCTCCCAGAGGCACGAACTCAAAGGCACCAATTCGTTCCGCTTTGACCAACCTAAGGTGCAAAACTAGCACGGTGAAATTCCTCCCGCTCTTTCTGCAAAGTCTCATGGGTGGAGTGAAGAACAAGAGCTATGCTAGCAGTTATTTATATAGCCCAAGAAGGTGTAGTTTCCCCAGATTTTATTCAGCAGGGAGTACAAAGACATGGGTGGCGGCAGAGAAAGGCTGCAGGCAGCCCACCCTGCGTAGCAAATCGTTGTGTTGTTTTGCCTGACAAAAGATTCCAGGTGGTTTGTTTTATACAGCTGTTTTGCAGAGAAGCGGGGTGCAGCGACAGCAGTCTTGACCCCTCCAGTCCCACACTTCCATTTCACCATTCGGAATCTAATACTCCTTTAAAGGAGAAAACAAGACCACGCCCATTTGGTTCTGAGTAATAAGGCGAGTCATGAGCATTCTTTCTGGTACGAATCCCAATCTCAGACATAAATTGGAAAATATGCATCATCCAGCGAGGGGAAGGAAATCCCCTTTAAGCCCGTTGACAACCCTCTCTTAAAAAGGAACGTGGGTTACAGGTGCAACCAATTGATAGACACCACAAAGGTTATGTTCTCCCTCAACTGTCAGAGGCAGAATGCAGGGAATCACAAATTGGGAGAGTGATGTTGTGTTCAGCCCCTGCTTTTTGGGGTTCTCATTGGCCACTGCGAGAACAGGATTCTGGACTAGATTGGGGCCCCTTGGACTGATCCAACTGTCTGTCTGTGTTAAGAGATAATAATAATAATAATAATAATAATAATAATAATAATAATTTATTATTTATACCCCGCCCATCTGGCTGGGCTTCCCCAGCCACTCTGGGCGGCTTCCAAAAGAATATTAAAATACTATAATACATCAAACATTAAAAGCTTCCCAAAACAGGGCTGCCTTCAGATGTCTTCTAAAAGCCTGGTAGTTGTTGTTCTCTTTGACATCTGGTGGGAGGGTGTTCCACAGGGAAGGCGCCACTACCGAGAAGGCCCTCTGCCTGGTTCCCTGTAACTTGGCTTATCGCAGTGAGGGAACCGCCAGAAGGCCCTCGGCGCTGGACCTCAGCATCCGGGCAGAACGATGGGGGTGGAGACGCTCCTTCAGATATCTTGAGCATATTCTCTCAATATATTATCACGGATATTTATATATCACCACTGATTATTTACATGCCACCCATCTGACTGGGTTACCTCAGCCACTTTGGGCAACTTCCATCAAAATACAGTGGTACCTCAGGTTACATACGCTTCAGGTTACAGACTCCGCTAACCCAGAAATAGTACCTCGGGTTAAGAACTTTGCTTCAGGATGAGAACAGAAATCGTGCTCCGGCAGCGTGGCAGCAGCAGGAGGCCCCATTAGCTAAAGTGGTGCTTCAGGTTAAGAACAGTTTCAGGTTAAGAATGGACCTCGGGAACGAATTAAGTACTTAACCTGAGGTACCACTGTACTAACATTAAAAAACCCCTCAGGCATTAAAAAACCTCCCTGTACAGGGCTGCCTTCATATGTCTTCTAAAAGCCATAAAGTCATTTATCTCCTTGACATCTGATGGAAGAGTGGGCGCCGGTGCCAATAAGGCCCTCTGCTTGGTTCCCTGTAACTTAATTTCTCGCGGTGAGGGAACCACCAGAAGGCCCTCAGTGCTGGACCTCCGTGTCTGGGCTGGACAATGGGGGTGGAGACATACCTTCAGGTATACTGGGCCTTTGAGGCCGTTTAGGGCTTCAAACGTCAGCACCAACACTGTGAATTGTGCTCAGAAATGTACTGGGAGCCAATGTAGCTCTTTTAGGACTGGTATTATATGGTCCTGGCTGCCGTTCCCAGTCACCAGTCTAGCTGCCGCATTCTGGATTAGCTGTAGCTTCCGAGTCACTTTTAAACAGCCTCTCCGAATACCTAAGCAGTTCCACTACTCATGATTTCCCTTCAAATCCTTCATGAGAAGGTTACCTATCATGAAGTCTTTAGATTAAGCTTTCCATTCTCATTCCCAATGGAAATTCATTCTAGGTATAAGGACCTGCATTTCCTCATTTCATTTCTTATTGCCCATTCCCCCCCCACTCACCAAACCTGGTCAAAATGTAACTTGAGGACCCCTTGGGGCAGAGACCTATTAATTTTGCTTATGGACTCTGCAAATGCTACCAACATCAATATAACAAGAAATCTTTGAAGCACCTTAAAGCCTGGCAAATTTAGGGTAGCATAAGTTCTGATAAACCACAGTCCACTTCACGAGACGCACGGAGCGTTATTCTGAGTTGCAACTGATGAAGCAGACCATAGTCCGCAAAAGCTTATGCCATCATACATTTGTGGGTGCCACCGGGCTTTCTGTTGTTTTTGCTGCAAGAGAGAGTAAGACAACTACCGCTCTGGAATATGAAAATCAGTGGAATAACAGCAAGCGATTTGTGGGGTCGGGGCTGGAGCTTAGTGCTGACCCTTATACCACGGATCCATCCACACAGTCAGAGAGGCCTTCTCCAGGGACCCACCTGACAGCATCAAAGTTCTACCCCAGCTCTAGTTACAATAGCTGTTTTTGCTTGCGTTACTCTCCCCAGAGTCCAAAAAGAATCAGATTTCCCTCTCTAAACTCAAGAGGCGACTCCAGGGAGGCCGAGATGGAGAAGCGGTGACTGATGTGGCCCAGCTGGGGACACCTGGAGAAGGGAGACATTCCTGGAGGCTGAGGCCCTTCAGAAAGCTGGCGCAGGATGGATGACTGAATCACCAGCCCACACAGTCACCAGATTCGGGGATGAAAGGGAGACCGCCTGTTTTGAAGAAATCCCATTGTGCCTCTGTCTCTCTCTGTTTTGAGGGGCAGCCGGGTGTTGCGGAGACAGTGGGCTCAAATCCTGTTCTCAGTTGGCCACAAACACCCACAAGGGTGGCCCTGAGCCCAATTTACCTCACAGGGCTGTTGTGAGGAAAATTGGGGGAGGGGGGCTTCTCCACAGCTTCTCATTTACACAAACCGGCTTAATAGTAAATATTTATCATCTCGTCTTTCCTCCCATGATTTCAGGTGGTCGCACCGCGCGGATATAGCGTTTGATGCTCACAACCACCCCAGGAATCGTAAAATCGTAGTGTTGGAAGGGACCCCGTGGGTCATCTAGTCCAACCCCCTGCAATGCAGGAATCTCAACTGAAGCATCCGTGACAGATGGCCATCCAACCTCTGTTTAAGGACCTCCCAGGAAGGAGAGTCCAGGTCAAGTTGAGAGGTAGCCACTTGGCCCAAGAAACATTTCGTGAGCATCGTGTCTATAGAGCAGCCTTTCTCAACTTGTGGGTCCCCAGATGTTCTTGAACTACAACTCCCATCACCCCTAGCTAGCAAGGCCAGAGCTCATGGATGATGGGAGTTGTAGTCCAACAACATCTTAGGACCCACAAGTTGAGAACCGCTGCTATAGAGGGATCCAGCCTTATTTCACCCTGACAATAACCCTGCGGTGTAAGTCGAGGCTGAGTTATGGCCACTTGGCTCTCCGTCAGCATCGCTGCCCAGTGGGCATTCGGACCAGTCTCTCCCTGGTCCACACCCAACAATTTACCCATCACATCGCTCTTGGTGCCCTAGATCTGTCGCTCACCCCTGACCAGATGCCCAGATGTGTAGCTAGTTTCACCCCGAAACACACAAACATTCACTTACCTTCTTGCGCGTTGCCGATACTCATGCACAAAGCCAGCAGGCAGGAGAAAAAAGATTGGCCAAGTTGACCCATTTTCCAAAGCTGAAGTCCCCACAACAGCTCCCAGCTCCCCAAAACACTCTAGGGGCTCATTGGCAGAGGCAGAGGAGCCCAGGAAGAGGCAGGGGCCGTTTCTCTCTCAAATATCTCCCAAGTTCACTGAGAAGTTTCAAAAGAGACGAAGGAGAAGGTTGTCGCTGGAGCCGAATCCCAAAAACAAGTGACGAAATCTTCGGTGAAGTCAGTACCCAGGAGAACGACTGGATCCAAACTTTTCTATTAAAAAAAAAACTCCTTGTGGAAATTCAGAATAATTTCCCAGCTCGAAACATTTGTCCGTATCACAAAAATAAGAGAGTGCCAATAAAATGTTCTTTCCTTCGAATTTCCAAGCTTAAGTTTGGCTTCACTTGCCACTCCGAGCGCTGATTTCCTACTCTCTTGCGTCTCAGCAGCTTTTCAAAACTTGCACCTGATTTCCCCCCCTTTCCATGCTTTGCCAAGCTCTTTCTGCCCTGGCTTCTAAGCAAAACTGATGATGCCTACATCTATAGCAAGGGCTATCATAACAAAAGTTGCCCGGTTAACTTCTCCAAAGCGCTTCCCGCTTTCCAAAAAAGCTGACTTCTCCAAAAAAAAAAAAAATATAACAGAGAAAAGCTAAGGCAGTGGAAGAAGGGGGGGGGAAAGTCCCTTCCCCTTTTTTTTTTCCTCTTTTGCTCTGTTCCTGACTCACCCACTCCTACACACTGCTGAAAAATTGTTTGGGAGAAGAAGAGAGGCTTGAGAGATTAGCAAGTTGAAAGGGAAGGAGGGGGCAAGAGAGAAATAGGGAAGGGTGTGTGAACATTCCTTCCAGCCCAAGCAGGGTTAATGGGAGGAGAGGAACAGAAAAGAGAGAGAGAGAGGGAGGGAGAGAAAAAGACTTTTCTTAAAGTTACAAGCACCCACATTCCAAAAAAATATAAATAAATAAAGAGGAAGCGAGAAAATATGGGTGCATTCTGCACAGAGATTGGCAAGGTGGAACTGGACAGTGCTGACCCTAGACAAAGCCATCCCAAGGCTTGACTGCAGAGTAAGTTTTCCAAACTTGTGAGAACTCATCCCAGAAGCATAGTTGTTTAGGAATAACATGGTTAAGGGGGGAGGAAGAGTCCTGGGGCACCTTAAAGGCTGACGTGCTGTACTTTTGGACAGCTAAGGTACGCATGGGTCTCAATGAAAACTATATATATGTATAATTTTTATAAAAATTTCTAAATGACATTTCAAAACATTCATTTCTACAACCTTAAATCAATGACTTCCCTTCTCCTCTTTCCATGGTTCATTTTGCATACCGTACACCCCTGCATATTTTACAACCATTCAGTAATCCATTGCTATATCCATCAATAATAATAATAATAATAATAATAATAATTTCTTATTTATACCCCGCCCATCTGGCTGGGCCTCCCCAGCCACTCTGGGCGGCTTTCATAGAAACCAAAAATACAGTAAAATATCACACGTTAAAAACTTCCCTGAACAGGGCTGCCTTAAGATGTCTTTGAATGTCAGGTAGTTGTTTATCGCTTTGACATCTGCTGGAAGGGCGTTCCACAGGGCGGGCGCCACTACCGAGAAGGCCCTCTGCCTGGTTCCCTGTAGCTTTGCTTCTCGCAATGAGGGAACCGCCAGAAGGCCCTCGGCACTGGACCTCAGCGTCCGGGCATAATGATGGGGGTGGAGACGCTCCTTCAGGTATACTGGACCGAGGCCGTTTAGGGCTTTAAAGGTCAGCACCAACACTTTGAATTGTGCTTGGAAACGTACTGGGAGCCAATGTAGGTCTTTCAAGACCGGTGTTATATGGTCTCGGCGGCCGCCCCCCAGTTACCAGTCTAGCTGCCGCATTCTGGATTAGTTGTAGTTTCCGAGTCACCTTCAAAGGTAGCCCCACGTAGAGTGCATTGCAGTAGTCCAAGCGGGAGATAACCAGAGCATGCACCACTCTGGCGAGACAGTCCGCAGGCAGATAGGGTCTCAGCCTACGTACCAGATGGAGCTGGTAAACAGCTGCCCTGGACACAGATTTGACCTGCGCCTCCATGGACAGCTGTGAGTCCAAAATGACTCCCAGGCTGCACACCTGGTCCTTCAGGGGCACAGTTACCCCATTCAGGACCAGGGAATCCTCCACACCTGCCTGCCTCCTGTCCCCCAAAAACAGTACTTCTGTCTTGTCAGGATTCAACCTCAATCTGTTAGCCGCCATCCATCCTCCAACCATCCTCCAAAACTTATCCTGTTGAATTTATCTTAATGCTACCAGCGTTTTTAAATAAACACAATCCCCCCCCCCCGCCATATATTCAGTAAACATTTTCCAGTCTTCTTTAAACGTACATTCTTCTTGTTCTCTTATTCTATATGTTAAATCTGCAAGCTGTATTCCATCAGTTTAAGTTGCCATTCTTCTTCGGTTGGGACCTCACTCGTTTTCCATTTTGGCGCTAACAAAACGCGGGCCGTAGTAGCAGCATACATAAATACTCTTTTTTGACACCTGGGAATTTCCCTCTGAATTATTCCCAACAAAAAGGACTCTGGTTGTTTGTTGGTTTTTGAAAGGTACTTTAAAACATTTCCCCCCCAATTCATTATATATCATTTTCCAATATTCTTTTACCCTTTTTCCAAGTTCAAGTCCTGGGGCACCTTAAAGGCTGATGTGCTGTGCTTTTGGACAGCTAAGTTATGCATGGGTCTCAATGGAAACTAAAGACCTTACTTCAACACCTGCAGCACTTTCCACAGAGTGGATAGAATCATAGAATTGTGGTGTTGGAAGGGGATCCCGAGGGTCATCTAGTCCAACCCCCTGCAACGCAGCTGTCCCATTCGGAGATTGCGAAGAATGAGGATGTTGCTTTCTCCCAGCCACAAATGCAACAAGTCAGGCAGATGTTTACAGTTCAGATAAATTCACACCTGATAACTAGAGAAGTATGGAGCATGTGGACAGGATGCCAGACAGACACCTGCAGTCTAGGTCAACCCACTGCTCATAACTGGGGATGTTTAGAACGTGTGGTCAAGATGTCGTATTTTTGCTTGGCTTAGCAAGTAACAGCATAGGAAAGTAGACCAAATAAGGGGAATGTTAGTAGGTAGTCGTGATAGGCTGTAAACCTTGTAGTACCGAGCCAATGGGGAGGCAAGGGAGGGAACCTGTGCTTCAGGATAAAAAGGTAAAGGGACCCCTGACCATTAGGTCCAGTCGTGGCCGACTCTGTGGTTGCGGTGCTCACTCGCTTTATTGGCTGAGGGAGCCGGCGTACGGCTTCCGGGTCATGTGGCCAGCATGACTGAGCCACTTCTGGTGAACCAGAGCAGTGCACGGAAACGCCATTTACCTTCCCGCCGGAGCGGTACCTATTTATCTACTTGCACTTTGACGTGCTTTCGAACTGCAGGTTGGCAGGACCGAGCAATGGGAGCTCACCCTGTCACGGGGCTTTGTGGTTTAACCCACAGCACCACCCATGTCCCTTGTGCTTCAGGATACTGTGATCTAAACCACAGAGCCTAGGTTGTATTTTAAGGCGCGAGATTAAGGGTCTTAGGACCCACTTCTTACAGGGATCAAACCTGCAACCTTGGCATGATCAGCACCACACCCTAACCAACAGAACTATCCTGGCTAAGACTATCTACCCTCAGAGGGATGCATCTGCTGTGTCTCTGTAGGAGTTCCCGCTCTGAGTATGTCTTCCCGGATTTGAGCACACTTTATCCCAGGGATGAGGAACCCAGGCATTGCTGGGTGCCAAGTCCCAATTGCCCCAGCTAACATGGCCAACGGCTGGGGATGATGGGAGTTGTAGTCCAACCACATCTTGAGCGCCAGAGCTTCACTGTCCCTACCTTATTGCTCGGCCTTATGCGCGGTTGGTAGAGCATGAGACTCTGAATCTCAGATTGCGAATTCCTGTAACCAGGTTGTCAGTTTTCAAACTGGTGGGTCCTGGAATCTGGAGACACAGAGAGCTGCATGCTCTGTGCTGGATTCCAAAGTGGCGACTAATGGAGAACTGAGATCTGCTGGGGGTGTTAATGCCGTGAGCCCAGTGCCGGATTTATGTACAGTATAAGCTAAGCAAGCTATAGCTTAGGGCCCCACTCTCTTGGAGGCCCGCAAAAAATGAAAGGGAAAAAAACCCGGATGTACATTTCCAAACTATCAAGATAAAAAACAAATAAAATTAAACCTACATACAGCAACAGTGTTTTGTGTTGTGTAGGCTCCTAGGATGTAAGTCATGGGCCCCACCTGCTAGCCTGCTCCCTAAAATATCACTGGTTAGATACCTATTAGATCCATAAATTACCACATAGCATATATTCAACACAAAAAACAGCGACAAATTATTGTTGACAAAGGACAGCTGGACATATAAAGGGCCCCATTGCCTTCAGTAGCTTAGGGCCTCATCAAATCTAAATCCGGCCTTGTACTGGTGCCATCCACTCGTCTGAGGTGAGGGTCTGAGGCAGCAGTTAATATCAATATTAATTTCCAGAGTAGCAGCCGTATTAGTGACATGCAAGAATTTTGTAGTACCGTAGATACTTGGTGGCATCAAGTTGTGTATGTGTAAAAAAAAACCCAAAACCCAAAACACCACAGTCTCCATTGACCTTCCTTCCAAGGAGACTGAACCCGTGTAAATGCCTCAAACCCCTGGATTCTCTCACCACTCGATAGGGGTGGCGTGAAACATTTTTTTTAGTCACTCTCGCCTTCCTGGAGATTCAAATCCCCCCCCCAATAAGTCACCTGGAAGGGGCCAGGAAAACCTGGAGGCTTCAGGTCAGCCCTGCAGGTCCCCCCAAAACTTTCTCTAGCTGCTGTGCAAGCCACACACCCCCAGGTGTGTTTGCCTAATAAACTAAAGATGCAACGATAAGCCACTTTAAAATGCCCCTGTTAGGACTCCGAGTATATTTCAGCCCCATTGTTTGTTTCTTTGGGGGATGGGGGGGGCGGTCACAGTGCAAGATTGCAGAGTTAACCATTACCCACAACTCTGGGGAGCTGGGCTGGTGGGAGATCTGATAAGCCGCTGTGTTCAGACCTCCAGGGTAAGGAAAAAGAGTCACGACTATTAGGCAAAATGTAAAGATTGCCCGTTCCAAAAGCCATATTAGGGCAATATTTCTGCAGCTCTCCTAAGCTCTCTGTCAGGCTTGAATTGGGGAAAGGGGGTGGGGTGGGGAGGAATTCTCTGGCCAAATCCCCACATCCCCTTGCAAAATTTATACGCTCTCCCTAGCAAAGAGAGCTGTGCCTTTGACCTGCAGTCTGATGGGCAGAAATCAGGCAGGTAAATATTTTCCCTGGGGTGGTGATGAAACTGGAGAAACTTCACCTGCCTGATATCTGCCTGACAGGGCTGTTCTTAAAGGCACAGATGCAAGGCTAGTAAAATATTCTTGGGTTTTTCAGAGAAGCTGAGACACCTAGAAGTGCAGTCACTATTTCCATGCAAGGAGAAGCCTCGCCGGATGAATTTCTGCTGTTGGCGTGGGTTTGGGTGAAAGCAGCAACCTTATCCACATTCCCGGGGAAAGGCTCCACAATCTGCAGAAAGATGTAGCTAGTTAATTTTTACTTGCTCTGTGCATGTCAGGCCGACTGCTGTGTCTTCTCAAGCTGTTTCCAAAGACGTCATGCGCCCGATTGTTTAATTTCTGTGCGAAGGTTGAGTCCTTCACGTAGCCTCGCAAGTAAGAATTCCACAAAAGTTATTAGACTTTTCCAGCCGTCCCCCTAAAACAATGC